CTCCCCATTACCTTTCATCAGAGAGGGAGCACTCTCCTTGTACCTTTATAATTCCATCCTGCTTTACTTTTTAAACTGATTAATGCACGCTGAAGTGAACTGAATTTCCAAATGTTTTTGCTAGAGCTACTTAGCTCTCTGCAGCACTCCAGTGCTCAGCCTTCACACACTAGCCTTATTTAGTCAATCCACAGTCCTCTGTGTTTAAAAAACAAAACAAAACTGTATCTATAATTCAACTTCATTTTATCCATCTACAGCCATGGCATAATCAACGGGTACAAAATAAATTAAAAAAAAAAAAACCACGAAGTGCCAGCATACCTAATTTCACAGGAGAAATCACTACTACCACAGGAGGGCACTAAACTCTGAGAAACTATAGAACAGGAAGAGAGAAAATGGATGAGAAAGCAGGCTGGTATTTATTAAAATGGTGCAGTTTCTTGTCTTAATGCTATTATTTAAGTGCCAGAAATGATGAAGTAGGCCTCCTCATCCCTACTGCATTCAATATATATATATTTTTATTATTATTATTATTTTTGTGAATGTAACTGTCAGTGCAGAACCTATAAGAATTAAATACTGATCTTTGCTCATGCTATTTATGCTATTTAGGAGCAGTTTAGCAAAATCACTGGAATTGTATTCATGGAGAATTGGCAAGAGTGAAGAATCGTGCCTCAGATGTAGTTAATGAGTAGACTTTTTAGATATTAAGGTACCTTTACAATGTCTCCAGTAGCATGAGGGAGATGGGTTCCCTCTACTCCTCATTAAATTGCAACATAGCTTTCTTTTTGTGGTCTTTCTTGTGGTTTCCTTGGATTATTTTAAGAAGTTTGATGTCGTTTATAAACTGAGGAATCTAATTATTAGAGTGCAACTGCATAATTACACATTTAAAATGTGTGCTTGCCTGTGAAATGGAATACAGATTGCTGTTAAGATTACCTTGATCTCCAGCAGCTCTTTTGAAACCCTTCTTAGACAGTCACACAGAGGGCACAGAGCTGGTGCCGTCTCACACTTTCCTCCTCCTGGAGCAGTCGGTACCCAGCTGAGATGTGGCTGGGCTTAGCTGGGACCACACCCATGCCATTTCCTTGCCCTGGGGTAGAGCAAAAAACAGAGTTAATCTTAGCTCTACTGTTGCACATTTGAGGGAGCTCAGGCCAATAAAAAGGCAGACCATAGTCTGCAAAAGTGTCTGCACCACCTGCTACGTACAGCTCACAAACTGAAAAGCAATGAAAAGGAAAAAAATGCAGTAATTACATCTTTTTGCATACCATGTACAACTTCCTTCCTTTGAGAACTGCTAACATTCTGCCACCTCACACCAGAGCTACTGACAGCGTCCTCTTATCATTGCCATTTCCTGATGTTTTTTGGGCTGCCTGGCAGAATGCAAATAGAACCATGCTGTCCTCATGTACAAATTCAACTGCCTGTTCCTTCAGTAAGCACATTTCCTGGGCTCCTGGAGTGCATGGCATTCATGTAGCTGTGTTCACCCTTAAAAGCCGCACAAGAAGAGAGTCAGATGTCAAACACAGACTAAGTAAAAAGCAGAGATAGTTGAGGAAGGCTGGAGTGAATCTTCAGAAAGTTAAAAGCTCCCTTTGGGGTTTTTCTCTGACCAGTGCCTATTACATTCCTTTCTTTACTGTGCCAACTGTAACAGGAGAGTGCATTAACAGAAGAGTTCATGGTGCTTCCTCCAGTAGTCACAGAGACTGGGAAGGAGATGCTTTCCTTTTCTACTGTATCTATTTTAAACTCACACTTTTTTATTTCAAAATTTATGCTCAGTCTGATGTGAAAACTTACTAAAACTCTAAACACCTGCAAAACTTTCCTAAGTGAAACAGTACAATCAACAATACACATATTTTCAGCAGCAGAAAGTTACTATGCCCTCTGTGACTCCGATGGAGATGCTGCCATGTGCAGCATATGGAATCCTGAAAGCATGTGCTACCTTAATAACCTCTGGGTCCCCAGGTGGTAAAACCAACAGCTGTATGTATTATATTCATTCCCAGTAGGTAGAGAATAGACAACAAAATTTTTCAAAGCATCTAACTGATATGCACAAGAGCTCTATTTTCAACCTGATCTAAGCCTTGAGGCCATGTGTTACAACATGCTTTGGTGTCTAAAATTGAGTCAGTCCTCTAACAGGACTTTCAAAAGCAAGGATCCCAGAGTGTGAGCTGTGTTTCTGAGCAGGTCATGGAGTACTTTCTGAGATGTTGGGAGCAGAAATACTCTTAAAACCTGGCTCTCCAGTGCCCACAGTTCTCTGCATTTGTATAAGTTTTGAAAATATGAAGGCTCCTAAGCCAGTTCCGTGCATTTGAAAAAGCCTTTATAAGGGCTAAATGTAAGATTTCATAAGGGCTACAAATTATCTGCTCTCATTTAGCATAGACGCTTAAAGATTATGTTTTGCTGCTGAGCATTCTAAGTGTAATCACTGCCAGTGATTTGTGCTGATGCTTGCTAATATACACATAGTCTTCTGGAATTTTTATTTTTTGTTTTATATATACACTGTATTAGGAACACTATTTGAACACCAGACCACCAAGTGCAGAAATACAATGGCATTCCTGTATTTATTTTTTTTCCCAGTTGATATTAAAGGACTAAAATCATCGTGAATAGTGTGGTTCCCCATTTCTTTATTTTGGCAGTACCTATTGCTTGCAATGAGTCATTGAACTGAAAAGCCAGAAGAAGAAAAAAAAGGTCAGTCAGCTGAACAATTTGACCACACTCGTTGCAAATATACAGCTTTATGATCATCAGTGGAAACACAAGCAGAGGGAGAAAAGCATTGTGCCTTCGGAAGGAAGAATGATCCTGCATCACTTAGGCATGCTCTGAAAACAAGTAAGACAGTCGCTCTTCAAGCTCAGAATAGACAAGAAACTTAAATGCTGGGTATTGCATGTACCTCCTGAGTGCCTGCCACAGACACAAGGTCTTTCACAGAGCAGATGCCTGTCCCTGACACGAGCCACTGTGTAATTTACACAAAATTGGTTGTTCCAGAAACCATGCACTTGTGCAATTACAGAGACCTGAAAAGCATCCCTGGAGCGCTCACACAGGTTTGGATACCAACAGCTTCACATGCTGGGTGGAGCGTGTCATTAACAGGCACAAACCAGTGATGGTCACCGACAGCCTTGCATGCTAAATAGAGAGTTCTAATTTCATCTGCTATGGGGCATAACAGCATTTCTCTTGTACTTAAAGCTCCAATAAAATTAAAGCCTTGGAAAATACAGCTTTTGAGTTGAACATTGTCACTTGCTGTTGTGAGCTATCCAAACACTCCTGTCCTGTGGTATGCTTTGTCCCCACACCCTGCATAAAATCATAGAATGGCCTGGGTTGAAAAGAACCACAATGATCATCTAGTTTCAATCCCCATGCTATATGTAGGGTTGCCAAACACCAGACCAGGCTGCCCAGAGCCACATCCAGCCTGGCCTTGAATGCATCAGGGATGGGGCATCTGCAACCTCCTTGGGCTGCTGTTCCAGTGTGTCCCCACTCTCTCACTGAAAAACTTCCTTCTAATATCTAAACTAATCCTCCCCTGTCTCAGTTTAAAACCATTCCCTCTTGTTCTATCAATGTCCAGCCTCGTAAACAGTTGTTGCCCCTACTGTTTGTACTCTTCCTTCAAGTACTGGAAGACTGCAATGAGCTCTCCCCAGAGCCTTCTTTTCTCCAAGGCAAACAAGCCCAGTTCCCTCAACCTTTCCTCACAGGAGAGCTGCTCCAGCCCTCTGATCATCTCAGTGCCTCCTCTGGACCCGCTCCCAGAGCTCCACGTCCTTCCTGCACTGGGGGCCCCAGGCCTGGATGCAGTACTGCAGATGGGGCCTCACAAGAGCTGAGCAGAAGGGGGCGATTACCTCCCTCTCCCTGCTGGCCACCCCTTTTCTAATGCAGCCCAGGGGCTGCATGCACACACTGCTGGCTCATGTCCAGCTTCTCATCCACCCGGATCCCCAAGTCCTTCTCCTCAGGGCGGTTCTCAAAGGGTTCTTTGCCTAGTCTGCATAAATACCTGGGATTGCCCCAACCCAAGTGCAACACCTTGCACTTGGCCTTGTTGAACCTCATTAGGTTCACATGGGCCCACTGTCTAAGTCTCTCTGGATGGCTTCCTTTCCCTCCATCTTGAGATTGAAAGCCAAACCGAGCGTCGCAGATGTTGGAGAGCAACCAGATGTATTTTTAGGCCTTGCTCCCATCTAAAAATATACTTCAGTCATACACTTCAGCAATGCCACAAAGGCCTAATGCCGTATGGAGAGCGGAGCACAGCCAGCTGCTGTAACTGGGTGGCTCGACCCGCCTAACTTGAGCTTTGTGATTAAGAAATCCTGCCCTGAAACTGCTGTTGTGCGCTGGTTGCTCAAGGAACACAGCTCTGAACAGGTTTGTTGCACAACATTGTTACTTAAGCCAGAGAAATCTGAGTGTACAAAAAGCTAATCTGAAGGAAGGCTTCGAGATCTGCCCTGAAGTGAAATAAATGCACCGAGCCAACAGAGGGCTGGAAAGTACCCTTGATTACTGAAGAGATGAGAATTTGGGGGTGATAGCCTGAGGGATGCAGGTGGAAGCTGGCTGGTTGTGCTGGGGTGGAAGGGGGAACAAATGGATTACAGAACAGCCACGTTTCTCAACACGTGGGTCTTTTTCCTGAAAGAAAGGGGAAAAAAAAAAGGAAAAGAAAAAAGAAAAATCAAAAACAGCGGTGCTAATGGTGCCCGGGCACCGCCCTAGCCAAAATGTCCGCGCCTGAGCACAGCCCCGCGTCGGGTCGCCACAGCGGGAGGAGCAGCCTCCGACCGCTACCAGAGCGGCCGTGGGAGGGAAAAAGGGAGAGAGGAAGTGGCGGTACAAAGCGAGCTCCCCAGGGAGAGCCCCGGCTTTCCCCGCTCCGCCCCGCGGCACTGCGCATGCATCGCCGCCCCTGACTCACCCCGCTGAGCTGCGGGAGGCGGGCGAGCCGGGAAGGGGGCAAGAGCGGCTGTGGGGGCAGCCACCATGAACCGCCTGGGCAAGAAGGCGAACGAGACGCTGATCGAGATGGCCCTGTCGGCCGACGGTAGGCGCGGGCCGCACCTAGAGGCTGGGGTTGGGGCTGATATCGGTGCCCGCACCGTGAGGGGACCGAGGGAGGCGGGGATTCGCCTTTGCGTGGCAGCCCCACCGCCGCTCCTCCGTCGGGGTGGGTGGGCTGAAAGCGTTCGGAAGGGATGCGATGATGCGGGTGTCGGCTGCGCCCTGCCGGCGCGGGGCGGGGGTTGGGTGAGATGGTACTCTGCCGTGGAAAGATCTTCCTGAAAATACGATGGGAGCCGTGCTTTGCCACCGGTCTCAGAAACGAAGACCTCCTGGCACGGGACAACCACCGCCCCGCGTGCTGGGGCTCGGTCTTGGGAGCTGTTTCTCCCTCGCAAGCTCCGTGACATCGCTTCTCTTTGGGAAAACCTGTTTTGAACTCCTCCAGCAACAGTGTGGTTGCCAAAACCCTCAACAAAATTGAGAAAGCAGTGCCTGTGGGTGCTACCCAGGGACAGCCGAGGGGGAGCTTCCCGTATGCCATCTCTGGCCCTACAGCCTGCAGGCTGCTTCCTAAGCCCTGCGGGGAGCCCTGAGTCATGGCCCGACCCGCTGACTGCCAGCATGGAGCAGGGCTCGCCTGCTTTCCTGAACCGGCCTGCTTTCCTGAAGGAGTTGGAGACCAAAACGTGTTTAGTCAATATGTGGTAACCAGGCAGGGAGTGATGCTGAAAGTCAGGAATGTGAACTTAGTTCCACAGTGCTCCGTTTTCCCAGGAGTGTCATGTGTTGGGCTTTTTTTAAGTCATAAACCTCGAACCTAAGGAGTTGGGAGGGCTTTCTGTGGGTGTGATATAGCAGCATCCACCATTATTGGCACATAACTGTACGTAGTCATGCACCAATTCAATTCACTTTTTAATCAAGCACTTTTCTAAAACAGATGAAGAACTTAATATGGGCTAAATGGACTGGACTTTTAGAAGCTTGCTCATGTGTTAATTAAAAAAAAAAGTCTGGATTAAAATCAGATAAAATCTGCCCTTCCAGCTGTGGTCTGCAAAAGTTAGCAATATGCATCTGTTACCACTGAGGCCTCTCCAAGATCTGAACGTATGCTTTGTACTCTTAAGGAAACCTAAAGAGGCTTCCAGGCATAGATGTCAGATGTGCCATCACACAGTCGTGTCTGGGTGAGGGTAAATAGGAAAAAGACCGAAGGAAAAAGAAAAGCTGCACTTTCGCCTTAAAGACATGTTCATATCTCGATGTACGTGTATTTAATTCTGGTTTGCTATTGCATTTAATTAAACTTGAATGCTGAAGAACAAGTTATGGTAGCGAAAAGCTACTTACCAGCAGCAGAAAGTTGAGCATGCACTCTGTGTGTGGAGCTTATGTGCCAAACCTTCTACTGCAGAGGAAGTTCTTTCGCTTCCTGATGAATGAGACCAGTGTGAGGTAATAACTTCCACTTTGAAGTGTGTGGTTTTGCTTTTCATTCAAGATGAGCATCATCTACCTGAATATTAAGGAAAAAAAAGAAGTGAACTTGCAAAATTCCAATGTAAGTATCAAAGGAAGAAGATGCAGTATGTTGTTAGGAATGTTTCTTTTGTGCTGCCTTTCGGCATTATATTTTCTGCTTAAGATAGGAATGCCACAGCTTCTGGAAGCTGGCAATTGGATCTGTACTGTGTTTTGAGATGTAGATCCATGCAGATGAATGCAGCTTAAAGAGCATGGAACACATAAGGAGAGTCCAAATCCAACTTCTGCTCTGCAAGGAAGAAAGAGGTTATTCACATTCCCTTTTGGTAGTAAAGAACTGGACTGATGCCATGGCTCATCTTTCAAAAAAAAGGTACCTGACTGCTCCACATTCAAATATTTGCCTATGTGCTTTGTCTTTTCGCTTGTTTTCCCCTGAGAAAGGCAGAAACGTGCCAGGAGAGGTTGATAGTGTGACTTCCAAACAGCACTTGTGCTGGCTGCTAAGAAAGCATCGCTGCTCAGGGCCAAGTACTGCTGATGTTTAAGAGAATGTTACTTACTTAATTGAAATTGATTCATACTCGCAATATGAAATGAAAATATAGGCCTGTGTTCAAAACTACAGCTGTCTTTAATTACTGAGGGAATAATAATTTTTGATCTATTTGTAGAAACTCTGAGTGGGTTATCACCCATAGGACAAAACTGGAGGGTTAACTAACACAGAAACTCTCTGAATGAGTATTCCCAGGTATTGAAATAAAGCTCCAATGCATTTAGACATAGTTCAGCATAGAAAAGGCAAGTGAGAGAATATGTCATTAACCTCACCAAGCAACACATAATTCCTGCATGAGATTTCTTTACTGGCAGAGATGTCACTGCCAGGCAGAGATGTCACTGCCAGGCACAGTTTAAATACGTGTTGGGCATCCAACAGGTAAGCTTTGTTTGAACAGAAAACTACAGTTTGTGATAGGAAAATCTGCTTTGTGAAACAGATTCCAACAATTTGCAAAGTACCGCCTTCTACGTTGGTGTGCTCAGTAAGATAATTTTGCTGTGATGCTATGAATGAAAAACTGAAAACTTAAATCCCAGTCCACTGCAGTGCTTAAATATTAATTTTATCCTGAGACTGCATCAAAAAATAAAGATTTTCCTTTGGACTGTTGATAAACATTTTCTGCAGCTCAGTGGCTGGCAAAATGGAGCAGCTCCATAGGAAGCTCTATGTGCTCTCACCTGCCTTATTTGTCCCCTGGCAGTTATGTGGGATGTTCTGGACACTTCTGAGAGCTGGGAAATACAGTTGAATTCAGTCAAGTACAAGAGAACTCACCTGTTTCTCCCATCTCAGATGAATTCTTTTTAGCTTCTATGTAAATAAAAAAAGGGGTTGCAGCTTCACTTATAAACAAAACGCTAAGTTTGCTTTCTAAGCAGTCTACCTGATGCTAGCCAGCACTTACTAAGAACTGAAAGCTGAGCTACAATGTGGATTTTTGCTGTTTATAATTTGATCAAGAACAGTAGTAATACTTTTTTATAGTAGTATCAAAAACTAGAAGGGCGCCTTAACTTCTCCATACAAATGATCAGTAATTACTAGAACACGAAGGAAAACTGGGACGAGATGCAATAACTCTGCTGAGAATGTGCTTTTGAAGTTACTGCTGGCAGATAGTTTGTCAAAAATATTTCTTTACGTGTAATGTCTAGTTAGTGAATTGTCTACAGGTGAGAACAGGAAGTCTCCTACCGTAAATGTATAGTTTAGAAAGTATTGGTAATATCATCTGGTGTGCAACTGTTGCAATGTTTTTCTTATATGATGTGGCAAGGTGGTGATGCAGTGAACTTTTCTACTGTTTTTGTTATTGTGGGGCTGAACTGAATAGCCATGTGATTGGCAGGATGTACTTTGCTATCTAGCAGCACCTTCACTGTATTTCAGAATAGCTTTTTGCATGTGGAGATTCAAGGGGGAGTAGGGTCTTTGTGCCCTCCTGATAGGAATGCCTCTTGCAATCATAATACAGCTAGGTAAAGATTTTGAGATGTTAGCTAAAGATGCAGAAAGCTGAATAAAATATCAGGAGTTGTTTGTGAAGATGAGTTCTTGGAGTGGTGGGGTTGACTCTAGGTTGGGACTTGGTCACTTGGGATTATACTGTAGGCGCGTTCATATTTTCTTGATGAGCCTTCTGCAAGAGCTTTGGGCTATTAGATGTTTGGTGTTGGTTGCTGTAGCGTGGTGGGTGCCAAGAGAAGGTGTGCTGGTAGCTGAATTGGCTGCAGCTGCTGAGATGGCCTGAGGTAAGGCAGGCTGTGTGAATCAGTGTGGAGATGTGTGCCCTGCGCAACTGTGGTGGTGTGTTCTAAGTAGTAATTACCTTTCTTCATGTAACATAAGGCAATTCTTAATTTACCCATCTGAGCAGGGTGAGGGATACGACATAAACATCAGTGCTCAAGTGTGCTATTCATGAGGAGCTGAGAAAATAGCTTAACTCCTTACTGAAGTCAATTCAATACCGTGGTAATCCAGTGAAGGATTTCTGAATCTATTTATATGCATTCAGAATACATCCAAGGGTGAACTTGGATCACTTATCACACTGCATTGGGATAGAAGTGGAACACTGTAGGGCTGCCTTCAGACTGTCTCTCTTTAGCCCCTGCTTTGTCACTAGTTTATGCTACCAGAGAGTTTTATTTTAGTTGGAACTGATGTGCAAGGAATGAGGAAAGAAATTTCCTTAGATCCTATTTGCACAGTTGTCATCTGGTGTTCTCAAGAAATCTTGTAGCTTATTGGGTGATGGGATTTCAGTTCTCTTTGGTGAGGGAGGAGAGGAAATTGAAATACAGTAGTGTGATACAGATCTGTACATGGTGGAAAAAAATAAGAATAGATGAGCATCTATGGAGAGTATCTTAGGGTAAGGTGCTGTTTTATGACTGGAAATCTCCTGTGATGCCATGTCTCCCTTAGCAGGCTCCCAAGGGTAAATGTGAAATTGGAGGCCTTTGGCAAGACAGCAGAACGCCAGCAAGCATTGTGGGTAAGGCTTGTGGTGTAGATGGCTGGTCTTTAATTTTCTGCAGTACTCCAAAATTAGAAAAGGCGCTGTGGTTTGTTATTCAAAGGGGTTTTCTTAACTATCAGGTAGGAAATTGGAGGGCTTCTTCTTGCCCATTTACAATGTACTGGAAATATACCACACTGACAAGTAATGACAAGCAGATGTATTTCACAGACCATCAAAAAGTTGGATGTCTGTGCTATTTTGGTCCTGCTAATCAGCTGGTGTCTGCATCAGAAACTATAAGTGATGGGAGCTGTGGTCTACCACCCTGCTTATTTTCTTGACTGGTAGGGGACGTTTCTGTGGGTCTTCTGTATGATTTCCATGCTTACTCTATGTCATTTGAGTGACTTGAATAGAAAGCATTGTGTTGCAAACTCATACGCCAATATGTTTCTATGTTATTTAGTAAGAGAAAGCAGTGAAGTGAAGCAAAATTCTCAGTGGCATGTGTCATTGGAAGTATGACAAAAAGGGTGCTGAAGCAGAGCATGGGGACAGGAAGAACCAAGAATTGCAGGTGAAATTCAATGTCCATCTGAAATTAAGTGTGGCAAGCAGCTGAGGAATATGGCAGTGGACAGAAAGTGGATGATGTAGTTGTTCACAGTGCTTTTCACTTTGTTAGTAAAGGTACGAGTCAAATATGTTCCTTGTAGTTCTTGCTGTTCCTCTCCCCATTCTGTTTTTCTCCACTATTGCCCCATCTGTAGCTCACTGTTTGTGTTGCTTTTCTCATACAGCTTCTGAAGGAGATTTCTAATGCTAGGATGTACTGTGTGTCCACAGAATGAATGGTACCCGGGGACCCCCCACTGCTTATGAGAACTGTTGCAGTGGCTGAAAGAAGTCAGAGATTCCGTATCACGTTTCAATGCAATCCATGAATGAATAATGATATGAGATTTTAAATGGGTCTCTAGGAAAGCAAGCCTGTACTTAACACTTTTTTAAGTGCTTGTAATTCCCTTGAGCTGTGATGAAAAGCGATAGCGCAGTTGTCCATTCTTCCTCTGTTCTGGAGTGCGGTCAGCATGCACCTGGCATTTCCATATATGTGCACAGCCATTGCTTGAGCTGCTTGTCTGCTTCTGCAGTCAGCGCTGATGAAAAATGGCCTTTGGCGTATAAATAGTCTGAATGCAAACAAACGCTGCCATAGTCCTTCACAAGCTGCCAGGTCTAATGCAGGCTGCTGTTCTACCACCCTGCTCTTCTGAGTCTTATTTGCCATCTAGGTCCTAAATCTTACACATGTAAAAATACCTCACTTTGTCCAACTACTTTTGGTCTGGGCTTTCTCCTTTTTAATTGTGTTTGAACCTGTCAATTGGTTGGCGTGCCATTCTGCATAATGATGGTGCCTGGAAGGTATAAATGCCACATTCCGCACTCACAGCACATTTGATGCAGTGGCTTAGACAGGGCTTACAATGCGGTGGTAGTTATTGCCTTGACCACATAAAAATGTCATTCAGGTTGTGGTTTTTTGCTAAAAACAGATTTACATAAATCTAACGTATTAAGCTGTGTGCTTTCTAATCAAGATGGGAGGTTCAGTGGGTTTATGAAAGGAAGGCAGCTAGGAGTAAGCTTTGAGTTCTAATTCAGAATACCCATTTATTATATTAGAGGTTAGAACTACGGACTGTATTTCATCCAAATTACCAGATTTTGTTAGCTAGATTTTAAAATACTGTTTCTTTTTTTTCTTTTACTACCAATGTGTTGATAAACACCTGTTCTGTGGAATTGCCCATTTAATAATTAAACACATGATGGCCATGAAGTAGGTAATAATTGAAGGTAGTTTGTTGTTGTTGGTTTTTTTTTTAAGGGAATCATAAAGTTCTTTTCCTATGTTCCTAGTACATTATCTTGGATCTGTAAGAAAATTAATGTTTTCACTGTTTAGGAATAGCTTCAAATTTTCAGGAGCAGCTCTGTGTATAGACCACTTCAAGCATGACCTTGAGATGGAATCTTTGGTTCAGGAGTGCAGCTGTTACTCTTGCTGATACGAGATGAAGTAATAACGCTTATTGAACTTGCTGGTGAGCTAGCACTCTAGGTAGGTCCCAGTTCCCCTAGGCAGTGCTGTCACCAGTTTGGGAATCTAGTCAGGCTGGGATCCTAGTCCCAGGGGATCCCAGGGAACAGGGGTGCAGCTTTATTGCAAGTCAAGCTTATATGAGTATAAAATAGTAATTGTGTGGGATGAGTGACCTTATTCTGGAGCAGTATTTATTCAGTTTGCATTTTTGTTAGTGACTCATTGCTGAATCAGGCTCCCTGTGAGTAGAAATCGGTCAGAGTAGGTCCCAGCTGACAAGTTCAGCAGCAATCCCATGCTGATCTTTTGGGAGCGCAGTACGCAATGCTGTAAATCATGTATTGATTCAGCAGTAAGAATTCATGTTCTTGTATTGATTTTTCTCTTCCCCTCAGAAAGACAGGTTGCTGAATAATGGAGGAGTTTACTGATATGGTCTCTTTAAGACATCCAGGAATAAAATTTTCTTTGACTCCTTGGTAAGGGTGAATATTAGGAATTGTGTTCATAGCACAAAGTAGCTACCTCGTTTAAGTTTTTAGTTCACCTAGAGCATCTAGACTCCACTCTAGGAACATGCATAGTTGTGAACTGTCAGGTTTGCAGAATGGTGTAATGGGTCTCAAAGTCCATTTTACCTGCTAGTTTCTGCTGAGTAAGAAAGTTGCTATTACAGTGTCTTAAGTCTGTGTTCTGCTTCACATTGGGACCATCCAGCTCCATTTTGGTGTTTGTCCTTGGGCGCTGCTGAGCTCTGCTGCTTGACTTGTCGCATCTATCAGGCGGCTACAGGAGGCCTTGATCTCCAACAGCACCATTACTTTTTTGTGACAACACTGAAGAAATTGACTCGTATTACGATATTTTTATAGATTAACATCTCAAAATAAGCAATTTATTTTGCACTGTTTGTTTTCTTGCATGTTATTTTAACTCTTAACTATACTGCTAATACAGATTTTATAAAATAAGAGAATTTTTCCACTGCCTGTCATACTGTAGCATGAAGGGTGGGTCAGTCATCCATGTGGCATTCCATCCATTTATCTCATTTTAAATGTGTGACTTCAGGCATATCTATGTATTGCTTCCTTCTGTAAACTGCAGCTACTGTAGTGCCTTTAAGAAACTGTAATCTTGGTAGTGCCTATGCCATAAAGGGTTTTTGGTCCTTCAAAGTGGAATGCATAGACAATTTTTTTGAAGGACAACTTGCTCATCCTATTAAAACACTATTTAACCAAATAGGTTCAAATGTGGAATCGCATTGCTTTCATTTCTTTATTTATATAGGAAAAATGAAGTCGGGCACTGTAAGCAAATTTAGACTATTGTAGAATAACTCACCAGTTCAGTGCACAAGAAGAAATTCTTCATGCTTGCTGTGGAAATAAGAAGACTGACTTAGTAGAAGTACTGCTTATTTGTGGAGTAAGCTACATAAATTCTGACAAGCTGTGTCAGTCACGTTTGTATTCTGCAGTCTTCAGTCCTGAATGCTAATTTCCGTGAACTGTTTTGGATTACTGTTGTTCACCTAGGTCTGTAATTGAAATAGAAGTGAACTGTAATTCTTCAGGATGACACATTGAAAGTTTATAAGTAGATTGCCCTTCAGTTGGGTACAGTTTAGGACAGTGTATGCTAATGATAGTGGAAATCGAAATTACAGGTCATAGGACACTCACTCATTTCCACTAATGCACAGCTCCTGGGACATACATGTTTAAGGCATTAGAAATTGCTGTGCATGGAATTGTAAGGCTGTTGGAGAGCATTCTTTTAGGTGTATGAATGGTTTCACATCTTGTTACATACAGCAGAACAAGTTGTGTTGAAGAACAAAGCCGTTCATTACAGATGATGGTTTCATCAGTGTATCACTGCATTCCATGTTAGGATATAAGAATGCAATTTCTTGACATGTTTTCAAGATGTATTCTTGTCTAGTGGAAACTATTCTTATCCTCCCTGTTGCTGGCATGGGAAAGCAAAAGCTTGGCTTATGTTGCTGAATGAAGGGCCTGGACTGAAAGTCGAGTGCTGAGGTTCAGGAGAAGCCTGCTCTCTGTCCTCTGTCTAATCTGTTGTTCCTACTGCAGGCTCATCTGTTCAGTTATTGAGGCTTATTGTGAAGAACAGGGGAGGCATATTAAACGTGTTCATGTTAGAAGTGGATTTGACTTGAGACTTTTAACTGAAGCATTTTTTCCTTTTAAAGATGACGTTGCAGTTCTCACCAAGTTCAAGCTGTCGCGGTCAGAAGGTATCACACTAAGCAGCATTACGCCTTCCTCCCTTCTGTGCATGTCCTCTATTGTTACTCTCCTAATTTTTTACTCTTTTACTTACTACTGTTGTTTTTAATTCTGAAAGCCTCTTGGTTAAGAACTGACCAAGCATCTCCATTCATGGTACCTGCAGTTCTGGGTTGTGGCTTCTTTACACTTAGATATACGTTTTCTTGTCTTGCTGCCTAGGAACTTGCTTATATGTTTGTCAAGGAGTGAACATTTAATAATGTTGTATATCTCAGCTTTAGGTTCTGCATTCTCTTTTTGCCTTTTTGTATGCTGCACCAGCCTTAATTCAGTTTTATTTCCCTGGATTAGAAAGACCAAGAGGATTTCTTCTCACACAATTTGTGTAACTTATTAGCTGAGCTAATAACCAAAAAAAGCAGTTAATAGTAAAACTCTTAATCACGCTTGTTTCTGAGGTTAAATTTTCCCGACGACAGAACTCATAATCCAGAAAAGACAACCAACTAGGCTGTTGTAGGTTATGGAGTTGGTTCAAGTCAGCAGTAAAGGTAAATGGAATGTCACTGCTCCAGGGCTGAGGTGCCTGGCTGCTTCTGCAGTGGGGAGCTGTGTGATGTTGGGGCTTTCTGCTCCTGGGCTTGATACCTTCAACCAAAGTTGCAATAGCCAACTGCTTCCCAGTGCAATGGGCAATGCAGGCAGTGGAGTGATGGTGATGCTCCCTTTCTTTTTGGCTGTCCTAGGCAGCTGCCTGGTTGGCTTGTTCTTAGAGGTTCCTAGAGGTACCTGTAAGGTAGAGCCTCTCTCTGCAGGAGTATTCTTGCAGAAACAGTGTCTCAAGGAAATTATTCTGAATATTTTGATGGTTGCTGCTTTTTTAAGTAAAGACTTCTAGATTCTTAGTATGTTTGTTTTTTCCCATTTTGTGCCACGTGTTTCTCTTGTTTGAATGTTTGTGTTGTTGGAAGGTGATATGGGTTTTGTTCTGTTCTGAAGCTGTTGCATTAAATGTTTTCTGTTGTTGGTGTTCTGTCTTAGAGTATAGCATTTATGATGTAATTGGGTGGGAAAAGTGAACCTAAATTAGTTACTTCCACACAAACTTTTTATAAATGACTTGACACTGGTCTTGATTCCTATATGAGAGAATCATAGAATTATTAAAGTTGGAAAAGACCAGTAAGATCCTCAAGTCCAATCCCAGCCCATCCCCACCATGCCCACTGACCACATCCACATCTCCATGGCTCTGGAAGAACACCCCAGGGATGGTGACTCCCCCCACATCCCTGGGCAGCTGTGCCACTGCATCACCCCTCTTTCTGAGAAGTTGTTCCTTATGTTCCTGCACATCAGCATGTACAACAAACTTTTCTATAGGAGCACATATAAAAAATTATATGTATAAGTCTTTCAGGCTCGTAAAAAAAAAAAAAAAAAAAAAAAAAAAAAAAGGTAGGTTTATGTTGTTGGTAGGAGTTAAACTAGCTGTAGTTGTTAGAAAGTGCACCAGATATTCTGTCCTGCATGAGCTATGCCTCTGATGCTTCCTTGCTGTCTGACAGGGAGGAGCATGATAATTCCCCTGCTGCAATGAAGAGGCAGCTTTGTTGGATTCCTGCTCTGGGTTGTGATGAGCTATATACAAAGGCATTTATCCTTTTCCATTTATGGTGGTGGAGTTATTTAGATACCTGATCTAGGATGCTGGTCTGTCAGTCTGATAAGCAGGGACAGAGTTGTTTGCAAAATCTTCTTAGAGCATGAGCCCAGCTTAAGGGCCTCAGGATTGCACTCCAGAGGAAACTGCTGACAGCAGGTTCAGATCCACAGATTCAGCCAACCTCTTACAGTGATTTAAAGGTATTCAATGTAACTTCCTTCATTATGTTAATATTTAAGAGGTAATCTACTTGGCAGACCAACTGTATCTGTGGGAAAGTCAACTTAAGATAATATTCTTGATTCTGCTATCCTGTCTCCATTATGTGCACATCTGTAATTGTGATGTTCAATGCCATCAATCCCTTAGCAACAAAAAAAAATTTAATAGTTAACACACAACAACTAGGACAATTGAACTTTGATTACCAAAGCAGCAAAGGTCTGGCTGTTGGACTCTCATTAGGTGGTAACCTGTAGGACATTTGAGGCAAGGAATAATTTTATCTTCTCAAACACAAGATGCTGATGGGTTTGGTTTGTCACTGTTAGGAATGTTTATGTGACTGCAAGTTAATACATGCTGAATGTGATGTCTCATGGTTTTTTCTCCCTTCAAAGAACCATTCACGTAGCTAGATATTTTTCTAGATGTTGCTTTTGCTTGCTCATAGTTCCATGCCTTCTGGTTTTACTTCACTTTCAAAAAAAGGATATTTTGAAAGGCCTGTACTTATACAAATCTCTCTTTCAATGTTCTTTAGGGGAAGAAAGCAATGGACCTTTATGTGAAACCATTTCAACTGCAGGATCTGAGGTCCCGAGTGGCTCTGAGGTAAGGTATAGTACAGGATTAATGTACTGCTGGTAGAATGAGAGAGAAACAGTGCCATGAAAAAGAAAATTAATTTTGATTAAGAACACTGCTGCTAGATTCTCATATGTATATCTTTATACATGTAAATGTGTTTTCTTCCTATAATGTTTTGAAGGAGCAAAACTGTGAAAGTAATGCTGCTACTCACTGAGGAACTTCACAACACAAAGCTTTAACATTAGTGGAAAACAATTTGGGGCTTTACAGCATTTTCAGTATCAGTCTTCAAAGAAGAATCACATGGTTGCTTCAGTGTTTTGTTAATGGAGAAAACATCATGCTCCTCCACAAAGCCAGTACTTAGTTTGATACTAGACAATCAAGGCTCTCTTCCATTCCTGTGCTGCAGGTATTTTTAACAGTATAGCTCTTTTTGAGAAAGCCAAAAGAAGGCGAGTTATAAGAGCACCTCTCCCTTGCAAGATGTGCAAACTGAAATGTGTCACCGTTTGCTCATTTGTCTCAGTGCCTCATTTCCTAATACAGAGTACACAATAAATAAATAGGGGTACGTGGATACTATTCAGTTAAGAAAGAAATTAAAAAGAATTTGGAAATATTTTCTGAAATGAATGTTTTAATTTCTGTTGTCTAATTTCTGAATTGTTATTGTGTGTTTAGAGGAGGATAGGAAGAGTTTTAGATAAGAATAGCAATAGCTGCTTTGCTGAAGTATAGTCTTAAGTTGCCTGTGAGCCCTCATCAGAAATGATACCATGGAACTGAGTGCTGGCAAAGTGTAGTTTTGTTATGTTTTTAGAGTACCTTTCCTCATCTGCCTTTGAAGGTGAATTTAAAGTTGACTTTGTTAAGGCAGGACACGTCATCCTTCTTAGATTACACAGATCTTTGTTTTGCTAGCATGTGCACCATATCACCCACATGCTTTTTATATGAATCTACCATATTTCATCTGTTACTGTGTTCAGCCTGCTTCCTCCCCTTCTATTGTATGAGTCCCACAGTGATCTTCTTCTCCAGGAAACATTTTGTTGAACAGACATAGCAAATAGTGTACTGAACCCAAGCAGGCATGAGCTCAAATTACACTGTATGAATCATTGCACCGTGATAGGCAGCAGAGTCTGAAGCTGTTTCTGAGTTCCTTTTGAATGCCTGTGTTTACATGAAGATTGCCCATTTCACCAAGACTTGAAAGAATTCTGTTTCATGTGGGAAAGGGAAGGAGACGTGGGAAAAAGGATATGTGACATATTTAATGTTTGGGGACATGGGATTTGAACTTTTTTAATGTGTTCAAATCTTACAGAAAAGGAGGCTTTCATCTTCAGCATTTTCTTGTCTGGGAGGCAGTCTGCTTGCAACAGACACATCCCAGATGCTCTCCGTGGTCAATTCATGCTGTATTTTCTCTTTTTCTACTTATGTATGTTCCTTATGTAGTAATTTTTCTTAATTTGTTCTCAAGTATCACAAAGAAATGTCATACTAACGTGTCTGTGGTTGACTTAATGACTTTCTCTCTAAGAGGAGACAGAATAATTTGGTTGTTTCTTCAGGTCAGCTGTCCATCTGACACTTGTTACATTTAAATTGATACTTCTCTCTGCTTTACATCACCCTACCATATATCCTTTCACACAGTCATTCATCAGATTTTTTTTCTTTCTATACATAAACTTGGCATAAATTTATACAGTTGTTTCTAATCATCTTGCCCAGCACTGTAATCAGCCATGACAGCCTTAGTTTGTAATGATTAATGTCCTTTATATCCAAGTGAAGTGTTTCCATGAATCGATTCCAACAGTAACACAGCCTTCATTTTTTCATATAATGCTAATCCTTTATCTTGATATGTCTTCACAACTTCAGTTTCTTCTTTATAAACTGAAAGACTTTACTTTCCCTCAGTTCTTTGCTAGCTTGCCTTTGTCATCCTTAATGCATTCCTAGCAGTTGAGTAGGCATGTGAGAAAACCCACTGTCTCTCCTCTTTTTGCAAAGACCTGTTTGAACTCAGGTCAGTGTGTTCTGTTGTTTTGGCAGCCAGTTTGCTTTTCTGTTTTACGGATTTGGTGATAGGTGGGTAAATGTCTTCTTGCTTAACCAGGTGCTTAAATTTATGTTCCTGCAATTTGGGTGCACTTCGTATGAACACCTGAAGTCTCAAAGCCATTTAACTTCAATAACTTCAGTAGTGGAAGAGAGTTACCTGAATTTCCATCAGGTCACAATTACAGCATGCTTGGATTGTGTTTTTTCTCTGCCCCTCCAAAAAAAACACATAACTTAGGATAATGTCATACTTCTACTTGGCAGTAGTAAAACTAAGGTCTTCTGACTAATTTAGAAGCAGGGAGGATTGGGAGAAGTTAACATCTAGATTCTAAAGAGAAAACATTAGCCCTAATATAGTGGCATGTTCCTGACTTTTGCAATTTGTACAGTAAAATGATTTGTATACAAGGGACAGTGGAAGTAAAATAAAAAAGAAGGTGAAAAGCAGTCTGTGGTGAAGCCTGTCAGCATTTATGCAGAAGTCGGATGAAGTCCAGAACTCAAAAAGCAATGAAATCTGCAGTCAGCAATGGTTGTGGTCCTTCCTGTATGATTTTGCATTTGTGCTCTAATCTGTTACTACTTTATTTTTTTTTTTTTTTTTCATCTGCTTATTAGTCTCCTTATTTATTTACTTAACTCTCAGGGCCAAAAGAAACAAGGGACAATTAGGATTCAGCAGGCCTGGATATTAGAAGCTTTACAGCATGAATCATTTCTAGATGCTTTGTCATGCAGGGAGGCAAGGAGGTCTTTTCAGCAAATAGCAGGCTGGAAAAGAGAAAAAAGGGACATGGTAGGAATGTTTTCAGATAGGTGCTGCAAAGGGATCTGTTTCCAATTAAGTCTTTGTGAAATCAATTCATAGACAGCCATTCCCATTAAGGATAGACAACTGTCCTAATTTAGTCTTGAAGCAGAATCTACTAAATTAGTCTTTATAGAGTTTCTGTTCCAAGAATTACATAAATGAATCTTAAAGACTTCAGGCAAATGGGAAGATGAATGAAATAAAAACTGAGAATCTGTTTTCCCTCTGCTTAATGCTTGTGCAGTGAGAGAAGAAAAAAATACCATGAGTTCATTCCATTTGATAGCATGTTTGGTGGGAGATGAAAACACAAACCCATTTGTAGTTTATGTAAATCTGTAAGAAGAATATATGGAGGAATACTGTAGAGAAGAGAATATATTAGACTTAGGAAGGAAGATTTTGAAGTATGAAAGACCAGGTGAACACTGCTACCACCAGTGTCAAAGTGTTTGATTTTTGGCTTTTATTTGAAGGAGTTGGGGTTATTTGAGTGTTTCTGAAAGCACTATTTAGTTCTTGTTCTGGAGATTATACTCTATAAGGAGAAAAGCCCTGCTGTGCAGTACATGGACTTCAGCATGTAGTGGAAAAGTGGTCTCTCTACAGGAGTTTGAATGGACAAGAAATAGTATGCTGACTATCGGGAACTTTGAAAATCCAGCTTCCATGACTTATTAATTTCAGATTGTACTGAGAGTGAAATAAATTCCCTAGATTATTAGGAAAGCAGTTCACCAAAGTCTTGGGCTAGACTTCGACTGCTGTACGCTCTCATTTCTCAGCATACTCTTTCACTAGGTATATTCAAGCTCTGTCTTTGAGTAAAGGTGTGTGGGCAGCTCTTTAAGGATGTTTAAGGCCCATGTTGACATCTTATAGCTGAGATGGGAAGCTGAGAGCAGAAGCAATACAGGAAGGAGAGGTGGAAGAGGAGCTGATGGATGGCTTCTGCTATGGACATGGGCAGATCAGTAGCCTCAGGAGACCACTGACAGACAAGGCTGTGCCTCCACTGGTTTCCGGTTTGTACAGTACTTTACATGGCTGATATTTGCAGAACATAACTGGAGAAAACTTTGCAATTAAGTATCAGTGTGCATTGCTCCACAAATCGTAGGATCGTTAAGATTAGAACAAAACCTCAAAGATCCCCTGGTCTAACCCATCCCCACCATGCCCACTAACCATGTTCCTCAGTGACACATCTCCATATTTCTTGAAACCTTGCAGAAATGGTGCCTCCACCAGGATACTGTTGTCTTTCTTGACTATCTGGACATACTTGTGGCTCATGTTCAGCTGTGTTTTTCCAGTAGCAACAGTAACACGAGAGCTAGATTTGTAAATCCTGTTCAGACTGTCTTAAGATAAAGAACAGTAGAGCCATTGTATTGGCATTGCTTCTCATGTGGATTTTTTGCAAAAAGAAAAATTTCTTGCTGTTTATTTGGCTGAATTCAGAAAAGGGTGTTATTGCTTAGATGAGCAAACGCTCAGGGATGGTATCATTAATGAAGAATGGAAAAGGCCGTGTTTGCGTTAGTTCAACATAAGTAGGATCAAAAGCAGTGTTTGTTTCACAAAATTATATGAGCACAGCTGTGTGTTTTCTCTCAAGTAAAGTTTTAGATGAAAATAAATGAACTTGTAATTCTGTAGGCTGGGGACCCAGTTACCTGGAGAAGTAGAGCTCTGCTCAGACTTTGTTGAACTGAAAATCCAACCATCACTCAGAACAACGTTCTAGTGATTTAAACCAAAAGCTACACTGTTTCTCCTCAAAGAGTTTATTTCTTTTTGAAGCGTCATTTGCATCATTGCTAACAATGTTATGTTTTTCCCGTGATGCCCCTGGCAGGGTCTAAACAGCACTGAGACTACTTTACTCATCCCTGATCATCAAGTGGTAAGCAGTAAGCAACATTCATGCTTCCTTGCATGAATTCGTGTGACGTCTTCTGTTACCATATGCCAAAAAGTCCCTCACTAAAAAATTTTCCAGTTTCGAGGCAGCCATCCTTCCAAACAAATTGCTTTCTTAGCCTGTTAAAAGGGATGTGGCTTTTGAGTCTGTTGGCCTCATGACCACATCATGTGATGGCTTAATTGATGAATTCAAGGTAATTGAAAGGGTTCAAAATGGTGAATAAAATGTCAAAATTGAGAACTGTTGGTGAAGAAAACTGGAAAGTTTGCTTTTTTGTTATTCTTTTGGGTTGATGGGATATAGGGCATTCTGACTATGGTGTGATTAACTTGGGATCCCTTTTTATCATAACATGCAGGATTCTGAGTCAGCATGATACTTTAACACGTTTTAATTACTACACGTTGGTTGTAATTACCAAATACGTTAGAAAACAATCTCCATTATTTTACAGAGGGGGAAAAAAAATAAGAAAACTTGTTTAACATAAGTGGAGAAGTACATGCTGAAGTGTATTCAAGTTGCTTGCTTACATGGGGCTCTGGTGTCTTCCATTAACATATATGCTCTGTTAGCATACTTTTTAGTTTTCTTGGTTCTGTTCCTGCTCAGTAGTTTCTTTCATCCAGAGAGGGCTTTTTTCTGCACATTCAACTTGTAACGTGAACATCCTGAGTGTCCTAAACTGCTCTGAAATGCATGTTTTCAAGCTTTTGTGTGTTTGGAATTGAACACAAGTGTTAGAAAGATGCAGAAATAAAAATAATAACAATAAAAAAGGATGTGGGGCTTCTCTTTGTTTCTTATGATGGCAAAGGTTATAGTTTCTGATGCAACTTTGTACTTTGCGTGAAGCATAACTGGAAATGAGGCTGCAGAGAGTTGTAAATGCACTCTTTGGAAGTGGGTAAGTGCTTCAGTTACCTGGGTTGCTCAAAGGAAGAATATTGAAGTGAACCTCAGTAACAGGTGTGACAGTGGCTTTGTTTAGTGTGCATTAACTATGGAGGAGTTTGCTTTTTCCTTTTCCTTGCTCTGTGTATTTGCAATTGTTGTGTAAATGCGTTTACAGGAGCTTTTTGCTTTTCAAAATTACGTTTCATTGAATGGTTACATTTGGCTCAGCAGAACTCCAGTCTGAGCGTTACCTGTAGCTGTCAAGATGTTTTGTTCCATGGAGAGGGAAGTATTCACACATTGTACTCAAATTTGCAGTGATAGCGTTCATTCTGTTTTTAAGCTGTTGGGTTTTTCTTGCTCTTTCACATGTGGAGGTTTTTTTGCACCATGGTTCATTTTTAAACCTCTAATTTTGTTTGCTTTTCTATATTCTGCATTTCTATATGTTTTTTTCTTTCCTGCAATGGATTGTTAGTGAATAAATAGAATCATAGAATCACTTCGGTTGGAAAAGACCTTAAAGATCGAGTCAAACCATGACCTAACCATCCTACCCTAACTAACAATCCTCCACAAAATCATGTCCCTGAGCAACACATCCAAACAGTTTTTAAACACATTCAGGATGGTGACTCAACCACCTCCCTGGGAAGCCTATTCCAGTGCTTACCAGCCCTTTCTGTAAAAAAGTGTTTCCTGATATTCAACCTAAACTTACCCTGGTGCAACCTGACGACACTTCCCCTTGTCCTGTCACCATTGAGAAGAGACCAACCCCGCTGTCGCTGTAAGCACTTTTCAGGTATTGGAATAGAGCAATAAGGTCTGCCCTCAGCCTCCTTTTCCCCAGACTGAACAGCCCCAGTTCCTTCAGTCTCTCCTCATAGGCCATATTCTCCAAGTCCTTCCCCAGCCTTGTTGCCCTTCTTTGGACTTGCTCCAGCACCTCCATGTCCTTTCTGTACTGAGGTGCCCAAAACTGAACACAGCACTCGAGGTGAGGCCTCACCAGTGCCAAGTACAGGGGCAGGATGACTTCCCTGGTCCCATTCCTGATCCAAGCCAGGATGCCATTGGCCTTCTTGGCCACCTGGGCACACTGCTGGCTCATATTCAGCCGACTGTCCATCAGTACTGTCCATCAGTAAGTAGATTAATTGCTTTATATTGTAGTCATTCTGGTTTGTTTATGGTGTGTACAATAAAAACTGATTAGTGCATGACTATCTGAATTATGTAATAAGTAAATATTTGTTTTGTAAACTATCTTGCAAGCAAGTAAGTGAAATGTTGCATTTTTTTCCTTGTAATCTCAGCAATTTTTCTTACCTAATAATGTAGGACTGAGGTTATGCAGTTCTTAGATGTGCTGATGGGTGCTGTTACTGATGTAATTTAGCATTACTCATTGCTGGGAATTCTTCATTGTAGTATAACTACTGTAGGTAATATTGAGATTCTGCATCTTGGATTAGTGCTCAGTACCACTTAATTACTGAAATGACAGCTCTAAACGATCTTTCCACTCTTGAGATACACAAACTAGAAGGCAATGAAGGACACTGACCTCTGGACCTCCAGTCCCAGTGCTGCAGAGTTAGATCTTTGTGACACGTGAAGCTCTGGAGGGAGGAAGAGCTGTATATGGGAGCTGCATTTCTTAGCATGTGCCTCTGAGGAAGCTCAGGTTTTCGGAGTAAAATTCAGACAGAAAAGTATTGCCCTAGGCAGTTCTTCTATTTGTCAAGTCCAGACATAGAGAGGGCTGAAACACTTAGTAGCAAGGTGTGTTTGGAGGAAACTTCATTTTACATAATAGAGAGTTATCCCTTGCAGCGTATAACAACTTGACTTTGTTGTTATGTGAGTGACCAGAAATAGAAATCTGTCTGAATCATGAGAAAATAAACAGGACTGAATCATCTGTGCCTGGTATAATGGCACCTGAAGAGTAGACTTGCTTTTCCGCTACTTGTAGTGGAGCATGGAAGAAAAGCTGACTGTATTGAGCATGGTCGGATGCCTGTTCAGGTGAGTCAGTAAGGCTAAGGAAACATTTACTACAGCCTGTGTCACTCAGCTTCAGCCCAGAGTAGTTTCTCTGAGGCACTTTATTACGGTTCTCAGTGGTCACCAGCACTTCCAGCTGCCTGCTCTCCCCTGCTCTTAGTGGTGACGGTCTTGTTTGCTTTGGACCTGGCAGAGCATATCTGAAGCCCTGTGGGAGAAGGCGGCCAGGCCTTCTCCTGGAGTGCTTGGAAAGCGGTTAGCATGCGAGGAAGTTTGAAGGGAGCTCAGTTTAGAGCACAACTGCCAGCTGGCATTTACACACTTCATCTAAATCTGTTTGGGCAGGAGTCATTGTAATATTTGACAGCTTCACTTTGCGTTGAGCTGAGCTTTGTTTGTTTCCGTGCTGACATTTCAGTCTCCCCCGTGAGTCAGGAGCTCTTGCTGCAGGGCTGCACTTCGTCTCATACGGGGTGGCAGTCTGCTTACTGAGATTGCTGGGTGGTTAAAACCAAGGTTGTGTGCTCTAACATCAGGCAGGTGTCTAGGCAAGCGAACAATCACAAGCTCAACTATGATGACTGGCATAGTTAGTATGTGCCTGGTTATCTTGTAGTTAGATGAAAAGAAAATTTAGCCAGGTTGTTAGTGTGTTCAGCTCATCTGCCCAGATGCTATGAAGTCACTTCACTTTTAGAGAGATGGTGAGGCTGGGAAAATTGAGAAATGACTTCAGAACAATGAGTAGTCCTTGTGAATCTGCTTTATTCATCTTCTGGAAGCACTGGCACATGCTGAGCACTGGCACATTGATTCATGGAGTCATGCAGTGACTTAGATTGGAGTTAGATTGAGCACTGGAGGTCTCCTCCTCAAGGCCAGGCTAACTTCAGATGTGGATCAGGTTACAACTGTAAAATGGCTTAGGTTGGAAAGGACCTTAAAGCCATGTAGCTCCAGCCCCCAGCTGTGGTTGCTGTCTGTGGAGCTGTGGATCCAATGGATGGAGATGACACAGTTTGGGTAACCTGTTGGACCTGTTTCTGCTCAGCCACTCCCTCAAATCCAGCAGGAATTTTCCTTGTTGCAACTTGTGACTTTCACCATATGCCTCTGTGAGAAGGCTGGTTCCATGTCCTCTATAATTCCTCACTGGGCATCATTTAGTTATTCAAAAGCTTCTGCTTGCAGTCTGTCTGTTGTGCTAGGAAGTTTTAATTTGGTTACTTGTATTACAGGAGAAGCCCATCAAAGACCATCTGCTATGATGAGAGATATAACTTAATAACCGTGGCTTGTCCATGATGAGTTATTTTGAACACAGTTCTGAGAAGACCTGTGAAGAAGTAAAATATAATCCATAGCATTGTATGATTGGCAAATATAACTAATGCAAGCCATCACCATTTCAGGCATTTTAGCCCCATAAGTGCACATTTAGGCACAGAACAGCATGAATGTGCAAGACCAATCTTGTTCTTCCTGTGACATTCAAATGTAGCACACTGGGAAGGAATAATTTATGGGTTTTGTGAGTATGCCTGTCGTTATGTGTGATGAATAAATTTATGCACAGGAGAGAGCTGAGAAGTGTTCTTCACAAAGCAGATCCAGAAGTGACTGCTGCATCTTCTTAAATTGCTGCTGAGATCTTTCGTGACTGAATGGGATTCCGACACATCATGGAGAATAAGCAAACTTGGATGGCACTGAAAAAAACAGTACTTCAGTTGTGGGGAATGATCTAGTAACTATGCTACACAAAGAATTTTGGATGCTCGTTTGGCAAGAGCTTTTTTGAAGTTGTCATTATATTTGTGTATATGGCTTTTGTTTGTTCATGAGGACAAACTCTGCGAGCATCTCTGCCTTTTTAAATTGGTGGTTGAGATTAGATGGTACTCGAGTGCAGCTTAGGGTTCACTTAACTGTAACATTGAATAATTACAGTACTGTTAATACTGTGTAGATTTCAGTGTGGTTTTGTGTGCTAATCAGGCTAACAGCTGCAAATCATGCAGTTGTTTTGGTTTTTTTTTAACGAACAGAACTATAAGAGCTGAACCAAAGAAAGAATACCATTCCCTTCCTCCTATTGGATTCCATGATTATTGATTCAGGCATCTGAATCTTGCCTGATTGCATGCTATGTTTGTAAGCACCAGTATAGGTGCTGAAGGGGCATAAAGATGTACAGCATGATGGAAACACAGGGATTGCATTTATTTTTTCAAACTTGAGCATATTTGAACATAAACACGATTCCTGGAATAAATGGATGTTATGCACATAGCCTTTTCAGCTCTGGGATTACATGACTGCTGTTTTCCTTCTGCTTTTCAGCGGATCCAACATAACATGGGTGTAATAGGACCATGCATGCTCCATTCATTACCTACTGCCTGTTTCTGTTTTCATATTGTCATCTTTGCATTACATTCCAGAAAGTCTTCCTACTGTTCTTCTAAACTACACTGAAGTATCCAAATAATGGTAATTAGCGCTCTCAGAGCTGTTTAAAAACCCAAGTTTATTATCAGAATGCCAGGACACTTTTCCCTTTAATAAAAAGCACAGTCATGCTGTTTGTAGATGGTCATGCTTTTGCTGATAGTTGGAGGCATTTCCTGGCTTCGTTAAGCACTGCTCACTGACACCAAGTGTGGGGTGCTGCTGGAGACATCTCCCTTTGAGACTTAGAGAGGGATGGCACGCTAACTAACTACTTGTTGGTTATTCCAGCAGAGTGGAAGGAGATATAATCTGTTCCTGAAGCGGCGACTCAGGGTAAAACAGTGATGAGTGATATTGCAAGTGCCTTTGGTGGCTGCAGTAATAACATGCTTCACTGTGTGATGTCTTCTGTTAACTGGGAGTGAGGTTCACCATTGCAAATATTTTGTGCTTTTCCAGAGCCTTTTTTCACATGCATCTGTATATGGTTTAAGAAGGAGAGAGATGTGTCTCTCTGAGTTACCCTTTTTTGTTCCTGCTGTACTAAAATAAAATCCACCTGGATTCTATATAACTGCATGCCAATTTGCTGATTGTCATTAAATAAAAGCAAACAACCAACTTCCTTAGCATGGAATTAAATTTAGCCCTGTGTTTATCTGCTATAGAGAGCTCTTTGCCATATGAACCTGGAGTCCTTTAGGCAATTTGGTAGACCTGAATGTGGATGCAATTGTAAATAATATTACCTAATATTAATTTTCATAATAAAAGGAGGTAATTATCTTTCTTTGCTGAACATTAATTGTTCTAACCTATTACAGAATCACAGAATGGCACGGGTTGGAAGGGACCTCAAGGATCATGAATCTCCAATCCCCTGTCACAGGCAGGGCCATCTACCTTCACATTTAATACCAGACCAGGCTGCCCAGGGCCCCATCTAACCTGGCCAATTAGTACATAAGATCAGTGTTATTGATACAAAATTCATATATGCTGATAAATGAAAACATGAGCCTCAATAGTACAATCAGAGCATCAGTTTCCCTGTTGCATTAATGTGTCTCTTTTTTTCATCTGTTTTTTTCTTCAGGGAAGTAAATATACAATTTTGAAATACAACCACTGTGTCATTTGTGTGCCAGTTTGTACATGATCATTTCTGGGACGTAATTCTCTGTGGTAGCTGGCCTTAGTGACTCTTGTTGCATAGAAAGAGATGTATGGGGTTTCACTTCTTGCTGCCTGCTTCAAGTTCTTGAGCTGTGCCCTCCAATGCTTTGGTGCAGAGTGGTGTTCCTGACTGCAGAAAATCTCATACTGCAGAATAATGCTTGTCTTGATCACTTGTGACACATTCTAAAAAGTGTGTAAGAAATGAAAGCATTGTTCACAGGCATTGCTACGCTAGCATGCATTGCATTTACTCTTTGTATACCAGCTATTTACATGTGATGTTTGTGGTTATAGTCAGTTAATGTGAAAATGATTGCAACTGCATAGAGGCCTTGTTAAAACTTGCCTTCAGCTATGAAAAAACTGAAAAACTGAGGCAACTTTAAGAAAACTGCTCTGCCTTTTGTTATTTTAGAGCAACAGCAATACTTGACTCTTAATCATGTGCCCATATCTTCCGCAGATCGATAAAAGACATGAAAGCAAAGATTCAATATTCTTCAGGGATGGTGTCAGGAGGATTGATTTTGTTCTCTCCTATGTGGATGATCTTAATAAAGAATGGGAAAAGAAGTTGGTAAGTTTGCTTTTTTGAGATCTCATCAATTATCTATTGTAATCTAAATATCAATTGCTAAGCCTTTCAAATCACTGCACTCAACTGGAACTGAACTTTGTAAAAAGATCTCTTAAATGTGTAAAACGCCATTCTGTGTACAGAAATTTGTGTAGTGTGCTGTTGTGTGCTTGGAACCAATTTCATTGGATTTTCGGGACTTCATTTTCTGAATTGATCTCTTAGTTGTTTGGGTCATTCAATTTATTATACAGTCAGTTTAATGCCAAATGATTTTGCTTTCTTTTAATTATCTTAGAAGTAGATGCCTTAGTGAGCCTACATCCGTACATAGTGTTAATGGAGGAATTTTCTTCTAAGTAAGATGTTATCCAGGTTACTTGTAGCAATAACATATATTCTTTTGTACAAATGGGCAGCGTTTTGATTTTTCATCCTTATCTTCCTTTAGCAGAAAGATTAGGATCCATCCAATTCTTCTTTTAAGACTTATTTAGGACTCTTTTGTTACTGAATAAGCACAGCATCTCTCTGAGCTTTTGCTTGGATTTTATTTGCTCTACATATGTTCCAGTAAAATACTTAATGTGACTTTGATAAGGAACCTCCTGTGGAACAAAGTACACTACAGCTGGAACAAGCAAGCAAGGGCTCCCTCTGAAATGTCAATTGGTGATCATCCTTGGGTTTCCCAGCAAGATCTATTTGCCTGAATGGCAATATTTCCTGTGGCAACATAGGTTCTTACAAGGGCATGCTTTACCAAACCCACCTTGCTTATTTGTCAGGCCATAATCCTGGCTAGATTCCTTTTTCTACCATAAAGTAAAATGCATGTTAAAAAGAGTGAAGGGAATACCAGTCAGTGTAGAGAGTGGAAATATATATTGATGCAAAATAAGTGAAAGCAACTCTTAAAATAAACCTTTTCCATTAATCATATTCAAATAGCACGAGGGAAGAAATGGGGAGTATTTAGGCAATACCTAAAGCTGGAAGGAAGATGAGCCAGTTGCTCAGTCTAATTACTCATTTTTGTTGTTGCAGCATTTTCTTTCTTATTGCTCATTAGTGGGTGGCAGGAGTCTTAGCCAGTGTGTCATTATTTACTGAAGGAAAAAAAGACCACAAGAAAACTAGCGGCTAATATTATAGTTCCTTTTTGAGGTAAAGATGCATTTGATAGGAAGAAGCCTCTGTCTTACGAAATTGCAGAACCTACATCAAGTTTTGTGGGATTTAATTCTCTGTGTTTCTTACCACAAGTGTTGGCAACTCCTTGAAAGGAAGCCTGTGGTTGTGTCTGTGCAGGTCAGCTCTGCAGGTGTGTATAACCAAGATGTTATAATCACAATATAATTGTGTATAATCAATAGATATCAAGATGTTATAATCGCAATATAATCAAGAGAGTAAGGCAAAGCAGACAACGATAACAAAAAGAGAATAAGTGGAAGAGCTTCCCCTTGGGTTGAGCTCACCAGAAGACACCAAAAGAGGGGATCTCCAGAAGAGATCCTTCCCCTCTGGTAGCCAGCTCTTAAATAGGTCCAGGAGGGGTGCAGCCTGGCTCTACCCCTTCCGGCAGCACAGGTGAATTGCCTTCACCTGTGCTCCTCTGGCTGACTCATGGCTCACCTCAGGTGATCAATCAGAGGTTCAGGCCGTGACTCAGCAGTTCCCATACAAGGTGCCACTGGTAGGGCACATCACCTTTCACATGGTCCTTGAGAATCTGCAGAGAAAACAAAATGTACCCTGTCTTTATGTCCAGCAAAGACCTTTGTACAATGAACGTGCCTTAAATGAATGGAGGCTTTTGTGCTCAGGAGTACTGTGCTGTTGTTGTTTAAATATTGATGTAGTGCAGGTTGTGGAATTTGGTTGAGATCCTGTGCTGGCAATGGCACATTTTCTGTTACTGCAGCACAGTGATGCATCAAAATGTAACAGCTAAGAATGCAAGTGTTCATCAGAAGAGAAAAACAGTCTGACAAAGGGTTCTGTTTCCTTGTCTCAAGGAAACAGCTTTATTCTGCGTTTCTAAGAAGGGGGTGAATAACTCCTTTGTGTGTTTTAACATGTCCCTGATACAGATGCATGAGACCAGCTGTTCGTCTTCCCCCTTAGCTTTCTGCACACCATCACTTCTCTGGTGTTTCCAGAAACTGACCAGCTTGAAGTCTATTTTGTATTTGCCTTCCATAGTCTACATGAATCAATCCTAACCACAAGATCGCTGTATAAAAAAATTATGATGATATTTTGGTGAGACAGCAGCCAGCTTTCTTTTTCCTTAAAGAGCAGAGAATCAGAAGTATTTTATTGATACATCAAAATGTATGAGAATATGGAAAAAATAAATAACATTCCAAAAACATATCTAACAAATGATTTACATAGGACCAAGGCATGATGGTTATTTGTAAGGTTGGTGCTCCCTGCCTGCCAGAAAGGCAAAAGTGAAGGGAGTGAGGGAGGTGAGGGTTTGATTAAGAAATATGTTGGAAAACTTAATGGCTTTATTCTTCTGTCATCAAGGAACGGATCTGTAATAGATTTTTCTATCCATCCTGGGTAACTAAAGATACAGTGCTGCATCTGCATTGGGTATTTTAGTGCTATTGGGCTTTGGCTCTTGCCTTGTTAATCTTATCAGGGCAGTTTGTTGAGCTCAGATACGTAGAAGGTAAGGCTACCCTCCCCAAGCCCAACAGCTAGCCACAGCAGAGCTTGGAAAGGTGAGTGCTAGGTTGCTCTATACCCTATATGGGCCATAGTTGTCTCAGAAAATGGAGTTTCTGTCTTACTGCTGCTCCTGTGAGGTTTAAGAAATGTGCTTAAGCCAAATGTGAGGAAGGGGATTGGCCTGCCATCACTGTCTGTCCCACAGGGCTTTTTGTATCCCACTGGAATAGCAGGGCAGGGTCTGAAGTGGAACTCCAAATGTGTGCCCCAAAAGTGTAGCTTTTTATGGTTAAGGTAGTGAATATAAGATTGTTATACATATATATTAAAACACAGAAGAAAATGGCACTGGGACAGGGGTACTTTTTGTCCAGTTTAAGCCTTTGCTAACAATAAGAGGAAATAGAGTGTTTGGATAGAAAGGAGGGGAAATTTTTTTTTTTTTTTTTTTTTTTTTTTTTTTTTTTTTTTTTTTTTTTTGGTTTGTTTGTTTTTCCAGCAGATTGATTTCCTTTGAAAGATGGCTGTTTCAGGTGGCTGGGAACTACATTCACAAGTGTTTCAGGGAAGGTGGCACATGAGAAGAGAGCAAGGTGGTAAAACTTCTACTAGGGCATTTCAATTTATCCTGCTATGCCTACAGTAAGAGAAGCAAAGTCAGACAGGGTTTTTGTGTCCTTTGGCTCTGCCAGTGATTAAGCTGCACAGGTTAAAGAGGAGCTGGCTGAGAGCATCTCTGATGGCAGAAGCCTGAGCTGGCTTGGATGTTGGATCTCCTAGGGTTTGCCAAGGAAAGAACACAGGCAGTGCGCTTTGTTGGGGGAAAATGGCATCCAGAACAGCACATATCTTTGGATATGAAGCTCACCTATTTGCTAGGTTATCTAGTGTCTAATTTAATGATTAAATATATTTGGCAAAATGAGATATTAGAAATAAGGTAGAGCTTTGCTAGTAGCGTAGTTAAAGTATCAATGCATTTTAGCATAGATCTGAGAGCTGTTCCTCAGTTTGCATTCACTGATCCAAGTACTTTATGCAAACTCAAATGTAAATAGGGCAGCCTGCTCCTCACACACACAGTAACAGGGAATTGGCTGTAAACTATGCTGGCTTTTTTTTTCCTTCATGATGTGTGTGTTTAAAAAACATCATGTAAGGCTGTGGTAGAGAACACATGACACATCATTGCAAGTTTTAGCAAGAAATCAACTGGTTGTCCATCTGCTGCTTTCTAATGAGGCCAGGGCTCAGTATTTAGTATAGCTTGCGGTTATTCTGGCACTTCTTCAGCAAATTTTATGCAATTAAAGGGAAATTAATTCAGTCTCTCAATAGAAGCAAAAACTGCTCCTGCGGAGAAAGAGGGGAAGAAAACGTTTTTGCCTGAAGACACTGCCTACAATTACTGGCAGAAGTGCAGGGCTCAAGCAGGATATCTCCATGCCTGTTGCATACTGCCACAGGCACAGTTACTTATCTCTGCCTGAAGTCCATGTTGACTTGACACAGGCAAAGCACATTTGCGCTCCCACATGATGATTTTGTAGCCTTATCTACCTGTCCAGCTAAGCTGTTTATGAAACACATTGAATTGTCTGCAATTGGTACCTGAACGTTTGCATCAGGCAGGGTTATTAAACTGGAGACACTGTAAACGTTAACAGATAACATTAACCCCAAACTGAATGCTTCCAAAATTTTTCTTACTATCTAGTTTTTCCATTCTACTAGAAATATTGCTGGATCTTAATGATAACACTTGCACCAACTCAGAAATGCTCAAGACTTGGCTTGCTTGTCCACTTAACAGGATCACGCAGCATACAAACCTGTTTCTAACCAGTGGGTTAGGAGCAATTGTGAGTTGGCCAGCAAATAAAATGTGCTTATTTCTCTTCAGGAAAGAAGAAAAGAATTTGAGAGCAATCTGCAGAAGGCTGGTTTGGAACTGGAAACAGAAGACAAGAAGGTAGGAAAAGAACAAAAAGCAGCTTCAAAGAAACTAGTACTAAACAAATAGACCTGCAGATAAGTACTTAGCATATAGCACTTTGTTGCCTTGTAAGAAAAATTACAAAAAGCTCTAGCAGATTTCAGTGGAGCGTGACTGAGCTAAGTCTAGCTATATTTGTGTAGTGAAATTATTTTTCCAGGCATGTTCCTAAAGATTGTGCAAAGAAAGTCATTATATTTCAGGAGGAAGTGACTGAATTCAAAACAAAAAGAAATCGGTTCCAAAGTAGCTTAAACCTGTGTGTAGGGTATGCTCACAGCTAGATGTTATCTCACCAGTTAGCAACATATCTGGGAGACAGTGAATAGATTAACATCTGCTCACTGGATGTGGCAGTTCCCATAAGGACAAACCCTGGTGTAACAACTTCAGGATGTTTGATCTGTGTTACTGTTTGGGTTTTAAGTGGAGAGCAGAAGATGCTGCTTTTACAGTCAGTATGTTTTTAGATTTTTCTTTCTTCCAGAGATTGAGTGAGGCAAAATAAACTGTGATGAAGTCCAGGCTATACAGCCTTAGATGGAGATTCGTGAAGCAATATGTTACATTATCTGCTGGCTACTTTCTTCTGTGTGCATGTATGTGACATGCTACGATGACACACATAGGGTGATGCCTCAAAATAAGATTATTCCTTATCATAGCTGCAGGGCTGTAATGGATGTTGCAGCTCTTGATAGTGTTGATCTGCTTTGCTGTATAAGAACTGCTCCTCCAGGAAAGAAATCGCCCTGAGAACCTGCAGGGCAGCTGGGCTGCCAAGTGGTCGTGCTGCACAGTGAACCCTCACATTTCCAATGCCCTCAGCATGCAGTGAGCGTGCTTAGGCCTTGCAGTGCAAGGTGAATGTAGTCTGAAAAGCATTTAGTGATGTAAAGATTACCTGCGTTAACAGTCAGCCATTCACATAACCTATTCAATGTTTAAAACTTAAAGTCTGAAAAAAAGAGAAGCTTTCAAAACTGTAAAAAGAAATAAGCAGCGTCTAACAACTATACTGATAAATCTTGCAGTAAAACACAGTAATTCTGATGTCAGCTTTAACTTCTGTGGGACAGGAATCTGAAGATGGCAAAATTTACTTTGTGAAGATCCATGCCCCGTGGGAGGTTCTGATCACATATGCAGAAGTGCTGAACATTAAAGTTCCCATCAAGGAAAATGACATTCCCTCAATGGTGGAGAACCCCCTGGACTGCATGCTTACACCATTCAGGCTGCCTGAGAAGGTGATGCACCCAGAGCCAGATTATTTCACTGCACCGTTCAGCAAGGACAAGCAGGAGCTGTACCTCATTAATGATGAAAGCACTTTCTTCTCGCCGTCCATGAGAAACAGAATAGTACGTATGTGGCTTCTGTCCACTTTCATTTACACGTCGATTTACACTGACTGTAGGAATATATGTTCAAGGAAGGAGAATGTAAGCTGTTGTGCCTGTGGGTAAATATGAGGAAGCCTAGATGTCTGCACAGTTTTCTCAGAATGCTGAATTAATGTATTTAAAAGTGGCTCTTCTGCACTTCTGCAGAGCAGGTCATGCAGGGAAGGACCTTCTGAAGAACAGCTTTTTCCTTCACATATTAGTCTTGCAGATTACACACAGTGCACAGCCATTACAGTTCTGTTAAATGGCCTCAAAGCAGGAAAGGACTGAAATTCATGTGTTTGAATCTCAGGTTAATTACATACTTACACGATGTCCGTATGGAACAGAAGAAGGGAAGAAGAAGTTTGGGATTAAAAGACTGCTGAATAATGGCACCTATTCAGCTGCTTACCCTCTTCACGATGTAAGTATTCTAGCATTCCACTCTCTTGAGTATTTATCAATGTTTTTTATCTTTCACCTACTCTGACATTGCAGTTTACAGCAGAAATGAAAATGTGCTCAAATCCCTTCAGTTTGTCCTGGTAGTTGATTCTGTTTTGCAGTACACAAGAAATATCTGCCAGTCTTACTGCTGGGCTTTTATGTTCTGAGAGGTTTCTTCCCACTGATGAGTTTCTAGGGTCTACTTTAAAAAGTCAGTCCCGTAATTTCCAGGAAATTTATTCCATAGTGTATTCCTATAATGTTTATGATACAGATTATGTGGTAATATGTTAGAAAGATAAATTTAAATTTATAGGGAGAGAGTGTAGCTGATGTGACTCTAGGCTGTACTACTGCCAGAAAGTACCTCCTACTGTTGGAAGCACCAAAACACAGTAAGTAGCAGTGCTGTGAAAATCTTTTCCATACATGATGAACATTACTAGAGTAAATTAGTGCCAGAATTTCATTTTGTGTGTCTTTTCATTCAATTTCAAAAAACCACAGCACTGAGTACATGCTAATGCAATGACAAGGGCCAGGGGACAGCTCTGACTTACATTCTCTGTACAGCTCTCAATGAAATGCTTTCAGCTGTGGAATTTGTAATGAAGGACTGCTTCTGAGCTATAGAGGAAAGGATTTAAATTTCCATTATTTTTCCTGAATCGGGAGTGAAATGGTGTTTTTTCTGTTTCTGGGAACTTCTGCAGCTGCATACACTGCACCAGTGTAAAAACCATTTGCTGCAGTAACCTACTGAAGCAAATGAGTATCATAGTACATGTGCTGTACTAGTGCAACTCTGGTGTAACACAGCATGAAGTCCCCCCATACAGTGCAGAATCACAGAATCACAGAATGGCCAGGGTTGGAAGGGACCTCAAGGATCATGAATCTCCAACCCCCCTGCCACATGCAGGGCCACCAGTACAGGTTGTTTTAATGTCTGTGATGTTTACTGCAAATGCAAATGATCTCAGAACATGCATATATGAAGAAGTTTCTTCTTAAAGTGCTGAAGGAGAGCGTGGTTGAGTGAATTGCAAATTATTTTAATTGCCTGTTAAGACATGTACATTATTAATGCTCACTTCTTTCAATTTAGTGTTTGAATCTGTCGATGAGCTGTTTTGCCTTTCCTCTGATTTGCTCACAGTGCCAGTACTGGAAAAAGGCAAGTGATCCAAACTGTGACAATGAGAGATACACGCTGTACATGGAGTGGGCCCGTTTCTTGCGGTTCTACAAAGAGCAGCCTTTGGATCTCATCAGGTGAAATATTGTCTCCTTTGTATTACAGTGAAAGCCGATTTGAATATAATAAGCTTACAGATTTGAATTTTTTCTTGCTGGGAAATTTTTATTTGGTGAAGACCTGGTGAGAATCAGGCACATAAGAGGGCACTGAGTACTTGGAGGAAGTAGTGTGTGTTTTAACTAGCAACTGGGAAAATGCTGTTCTGCAAGTAAAGCCTTATCCAGCCTAGCCAGCACTCCTGGAATTGATAGATGTGAAGGCATATAAGGAATATTTTTCATTTGATAATAAATATCTGCCACGATTTTTAAAGAATGATTTGAAATTTTCAAATTTCAATGTAGACTTGAAAAAATGTTGATGAAATCATTTTCTGAAGCTTGAGTCATAACTCAGTGTTAAACATGATGTTAAGCTAACCTTACCCAACATTTCTTTGATTCGTCTCATATCAGCTTAGTAGCGACCGCATCACTGAATTCATGCAGCTGCCCTTCTGCGATACAACCAGGTCTATTTCTGTGATAAACTGCCTTTACATTCTAACTGTGTGATCAGAACCTTTGTGCCCATTTCTGTGACTCCACGGAGAATGAAAAAGTGCATCTTCATTTACATTATCCTCTTGGGAAGAGAATGATTGAAGCTGGAGCTCTGGTGGAGGATGTGGGAGTGGGGAAGGGGGGTGAAAAGAAGCAATGTGTATTATTCATTCAAATTGTTTGATTTGGTTTTTGTTTGTTTGTTCTGTACACAGGAAGTACTATGGTGAAAAGATTGGAATCTATTTTGCCTGGCTAGGATTTTACACTGAGATGTTATTCCTTGCTGCAGTCGTTGGTGTAATCTGTTTTCTTTATGGCTTGTTTACAATGGATGAAAATATGAGCAGGTGAGTGTAATGTTAAAAATCTCCTGAGCTTGAAATGGTAAAAGCTAAGTAAAGCAAAAACATTGTTCATGTAGAAAGATGGGTAATGAGCTTTTAAACTCAGTAAATAATTTTGTTTTTCACCTATCTGCATTGACCTAAATGGTGGTCATTTACAGTCAGAACATTCAGAAGAAAACTGACTGTTCTAACTATTAGAATCATAGAATCATAGAATGGCTTGGGTTGAAATGATCATCTAGTTTCAACTCCCCTGCTATGTGCAGTGTCAGCATCCACCAGACCAGGCTGCCCAGAGCCACATGCAGCCTGTGGCCTTGAATGCATCCAGGGGTGGGGGCATCCACAACCTCCTTGGGCAACCTGCTCCAGTGTGTCCCCACCCTCTGTGTGAAAAGATGCCTTTGAGATGCTCAGCAAAAGGTACAGGTCTCTACTGCACTGGGATCAGACAGCAGCTCCTACAGTCCAGCAGAAAGCACTCCAAAACCTAAGCAAAAGCAAGCCCTTCTGCCTCTGCTAAAGGCTGGAAATATGAAACTCAACTTGTAGTTGAAAAGCAGTATTTTATTGCCATTTGGCAACAGCTTCTAATATCAGAGTACCTACAGTACATAAGGTCTAAAGAATACTACTGACATATCTTAAAATTGTTTCTTTCAAGTGCATATCATTGCATTATGCTTTTATATTTTAATCTGACTCATGGAGTATGTATTGACCATTTTATGTAGGTCATCAATTTTGCTGACTGCTGGAAGCATGAGTGCAGTACAGGTCAGCAATGTTCTGCCATCAGAGATGACTTGATTATGGCAGAAGCCAGAGTTTTCTTCTTTTTAAATAAACTTATTGGTTTCTTCAAGGACCCCAAGATTTACTGTATTTAAGGATTTTGGGTGGGGCAGAAAAGAGGGGTGAGCTTTAGGTTTTTCTAAGGAGTCTTTGATAAAACGTTAAGTGTAAACTGCAAAAGGTAGCAAATTAGAACTCAGGAGCTAGCTTTTTGCTTACATTTATCTCTGCACAGAATACAGTTGCTCTCATCTGTTCTATTCTGTCACTGTGAGATTTGCACTAGTTGCATTCAGAATTCACTGGGGAATAGTGCTGTGTATGCTCAATTTTCTCTGGACAGGAGAGGTATACACTGGATTATAAAATTCACTCACTAGCTTGTTAAATTCAAGTAGCAAATCATATTGTAAATGGTGATCTGAATTAACACTTTCTTTTGGAGAAGGTGTTGTGGGCATCTTACTAACCTGATGTGAAATAACGTGGTTTGTATCTCACATAAGAGCAGTGCAGTACAGCTCTTTTCAGACTTCTGTTTCATTACTGGAAAAAAACAGAATGCCCAAGCCAGGGGATTAGCTAGTGAGCCTCCTTGTAACAGCTTCTTTTTCTTTGCTTGCCCTTGGCTTCTCTGTTAAGGTGCAGATGTTGAGTTTCAACATCAACAAAAGAAGCTTCAACATCTTTGTTTTTGAGGAAATACATTTCATATAGCAGCTCTTAAAATGCTGTAGAAACATATACTATATAACATTTCTGTTCTCAGCAAAGAGATCTGTGATCCTGCAATTGGAGGAGAGATCATCATGTGTCCTCTTTGTGACCGAGAGTGTGAGTACTGGAGACTGAACACCACCTGTGAGTCCTCAGAGGTCTGTACCTGCTTCTTCAGCCCTTTCTCATGTTTATTCACACTGAAAACTGGTTTGTTGCTGAATGTTTCCTCTGTATTCTGTCGCAGTATTCCCATTTGTTTGACAACGTGGCAACTCTTTTTTTTGCCATTTTCATGGGCATATGGGGTGAGTACATTTGCTAATAAGTTTTAAGTAAAGCAGTAGAGAAATCTTGACCAAACTGTTGAGAGAGGTGTGAAGAAGGAGTATGGATGGCTTTAATATCCTGACTCCAGTGCAGAAGTGATTATTAGCAGCATTGTTAGGATGAAAATCACTTAGATTCTGTTCCATTGAAGTTTATAGGTTACAGTGCATTTTCAGCATTGTTAGGATGAAAATCACTTGGATTCTGTTGCAGTGAAGCTTATAGATTACAGTGGGTTTCGATGATGTGGAAACAGATGAATTTTCTGAGACTGCCTGTAAGCATGGGCTCACACTAACTGAAACTGGCTCAGACTTTAAAATTTGATCATTTTGCACATAAGTTCTTTTCCGTTCATCCGTCCTTATAGATGCAGGATACCAAGGTTGTTATTTCTCATTCCCTAAACACCATGTCTGCTGGATGGAACACTATATGAGATACAATTAAGTCTTCATTTTGGTTACAAGTCTTCCATTAACAGACACAGATCTGTGTGCTAATGTATTTGTTATCGAAGGATCTAGAAGTCACCTTTTCAGAGATTTCTCAAAAAAATAATTTTGAATAAGATGATTTTGTATCGCTGTTTCCCTAAACTTGCTGTGGTTATAAGCTCTAGCCTTTGAGTGACATAGGTTACTCATTCAGGAAATACCAAGAGAAGACTTTGGAACTGCAAAAGATAAGGTTTCCTGTTGGCTGTATAAGCTACGGAATCTCTCCACCTCAAATAAGAGCAATCAGATGGCCAAAGGTTTACATTTTAAATTAGTTTACAGAAGGCTTTTAAAACATTATATGATAATATAACTTCTATAGCTGTTTACATATCAAACGAGTTCTTTCTAATATCTATATATATAATGATATTAAACAACAAACTTAAAGCCAAGCTCCCTTTTGACCATACAAAGCATTGAACGTCCCCTATGTCTAGAATGACCATCATGTCAAATAGCCATCCAAAAGCAACAAAAATCCTTGAATGTAATATTTGAAAACAGCTCTGCTTACTTGTAACAGTTGTTCACGTGTTACACAGTTATACACAAGCAATCAATTGAATAATCATAGGGTTTTTTTCCTAATTCTGTATTATTATTTGTATGTGAGGAGTAATGACAGCTGTAATTGAGCATGGTTGTTATAACCATACCAATAGCCATTTCCTGTCTTGGCATTTCCCATTTCATCCTCTTCTGGAGTTAAATTAACTAATACGTGTACTGAAACTTGTTTAAGTCTTAGCTTTGAAATTCAAAAGGTAGCTAATAAAAATAGATGTGTCATATTGTGAGAGAAAATAACAGCCTGAAGTACAGAAACAAGCTTAGTTGGTTCAGAAGGTTTTTCACTTCTCTGTTTTAACTATATTTAACATATCCAACAGTTACACTTTTCTTGGAGTTCTGGAAGAGGCGGCAAGCAAGACTGAAATATGAGTGGGATTTGGTTGATTTTGAAGAGGAACAGCAACAACTCCAGCTGAGGCCAGAGTACGAGGCCAAATGTACCCAAAAAAAGAAGAATCCGGTTACTCAGGTAACATTCAGACTGGGTGGACACACACATTCAGTTGTGTGCTGCCAAGATAGTTTGATAGTGTGTGAGTTCTGTATCTAATCACTAGGTAAAGATCCATGCAACACGTATGGATTGCATTGGAAGAAAAGATTTCTCTGCTGAGAGCAACTGGCAGCAGTGTAGCTGTGCTAGCATGCTGCAGTTAATGACCCTGCCGTCCAGGGGGCTGTTAGCCCCAGGGCAGCACTGCTTCAGTGGCTGAAATGAACAGGAAGCAAGGCCTCTCTGCACTTCAGCCTCTCACATGATGGGCATGGTCCATCTCTTAGACCACAGCACATGTTAATAATTTTCATTTATTATCCTCTAAGGATTTAAATTTAAATGCATTAGATGCATTAAATCAGGAAGACAGAGGCAGTGTCTGTACCTTTCGGATGGCTAACACCATCTTTATGGTGTCCTTTACATTTCAGCACAGCTGTCTCTGAAATCTTCACACCTTCCTAAGTGCTCTTTCTCATCCTTTTACAGCATATTAGGGAGCAGTGGTCTTCACCTAAAGACAGACCAGTGTGACCAGCTGTGGCTTTTCCTCAGATATACAAACACATTGCTGGGGAGCACTAGAGAGATGAAGACCATGCTATGGAATCTAATAGAGATATAATTAACCATGCTTTTTGACTATGCTAAATAGTCTTAATACCTACTAGAAGTTAATCATCTTCATTTACATTTAAGTTAGGTAAGAATTGTTTCTCAAATTTAAGGCTTAGATAGTTTCAGTGCAACATCCACCACCTTAATTTGAAGTATTTTTAAATCAATCTTCCTTATTCTGGAGTTGTGTATAAATAATGTACTTTTCCTAATCACGAGTACAATAAGGTAACTCAGTCTTCAGAAAAAAAACCAAACAGAACTTAGTCAGAGTTTGGGAAGCATCATTGTTACATCAACAGTAGACTTGTTTTTCAGGTCTGTCTCCATTCTTATTAGGAAATACACATGCTAAATTTATTTCTTGTGAGTTTTTCTGTCTCTCTTTCCCCCTCTACACATTCAGCATTAACATTCTTGCTGTCATACCAGCAACTTGCACGCTGCAGTCATACAGAGATCTTTGAAGACAAGCGCTATCATTTTGAGTGTAGCTCTGCCAACCTAGTTCAGCTAATTGCAAACAGGTGCCTACATGCAGTGTGCTGTGTGCTAGTTTGCCTCCCTGTGTACACTTCAGTACAAAACCTCCACTTCCTTCCATAGCTGTGCAGTAGCAAAAAACAGCAGAACAACTGTGGTTCTGCTGCCGTGGAAGGAGAGGGGAGATCAGAAGTAGTTCATGGCCCTAGTGTGCTCTGAGGTCCTGTGCTGCAGCAAAACATGATCATGTGAGGAGAGGGAAGTATTGGCCTGGCTTGTGGGCAGTGCTTACCTACAGTGGGGACCAAAACCTGTGGGCTAGTGAAATGAACCACCAAAGGCAGTCAAATATGGTACGGGTTAATGTAACTGTCTGAGGGAAAAGGCTGTTCTCTCTACATTCATGCTGCTCTCGTAAGTCAGGCAACCTATTTGGAATTCATTCAGGAGATAGAAATTGGACCTTGATATGTTTTTATCTGTGACTGAGATACTGCACTGTTCTGCGCTTTACAACTATGTATTAACATTTGCCATAAAAATTCAATGGCGGCACAATCCTTTATTTTATGACACATAAATTTATTACCTTAGGATTTTCAGAAGCTTTTGTGCAGCTGGGTTTAGCAGTGATCCTTATCAATTCCCAGTTACAGCAAACCAAGCAGGTTGGCCACACCGTAATATAATTTCACTACATTAGATAATGTGCAATACTGAGCAGTGACTTCAAGTAAATTAATTCTGCAGACTGGGTAAGATGATATAGATGCAGGTCACTGAGTTTCTTGCATCCCAAGGCTAGCTTTGCTTCAGTTACAAAACCATTTCTTCACTGTTTAACTTGGGGAAGAGAAGGCTCTGAGGAGACTACATTGTGGCCTTCCTGTACTTGACTGGGCACTGACTGTTTACAAAGGTGGATAGTAATGGAACAAGGAATGGTCTTAAACTGAGACAGGGGAGGTTTAGGTTGGATATTAGAAGGAAGTTTTCCCACCCAGAGGGTGGTGAGGCACTGGAGCATGTTGCCCAAGGAGGCTGTGGATGCCCCATCCCTGGAGGCATTCAAGGGCAGGCTGGATGTGGCTCTGGGCAGCCTGGTCTGCTGGTTGGTGACCCTGCACATAGCAGGGGGTTGGAACTGGATGAGCATTGTGGTCCTTTTCAACCCAGGCCATTCTATGATTCTATGATTATTCCTGGCCATGATTCAAAGTACTAGGTGCACTGAAATAGAAATTAGCCATCTTCAGGCTTTAATTAGCACCTCATTTGCTGTTAAAATAGTATTGGCATCATCTTCACGATGCTCAACAATTTAACTACAACAGAATTGAAGTCTGCTTTTGCTGATTATAGCAGAATCATTATGATAATGTGCTTAATATTGTGCTGGCCTTTAGTAACCAGGGTTTCTTTGTCCAAGAGAGGCAGAAGTATGCCACGGTGCTCTGGCCTGAAGATTTATCAAATTCAGATTACTTGCTACTAAATTGTATTCCATTGGCATTAATTTTTAAATGAGCATTTCTTAATACATGCGATGTGGTATTCTAGGAATTAGAATTGACTGAGAAAGAGAGACCTTTACACCAACATGGAAAGCTGTTGTTGTGCTATGTGGGAATACTCTTTTGGGTAAGACCTAGCTGCCTGATGCTGTGGCAGAGATGGGCAACTAATGAGTGTAGCCATTTCTTCAATTCTAAAATTGAAGGAGTGGAGGAAAATGATTTCTGGCTGTGTGGAAAAACATGGTACATCCAAGTAAATGATTGTTTTGTGAAATCTTGGCATTAATTTCCTAAAATTTAGGCCAGTTCTGACCTCAGCACTCTACGACAGCTTACCTAGCATTACAGTAAGGGTTCTGTCCTCTTGTTGATGTTTTTCCTTCATCTACTAATTGATATTTTGCAAAGGTTTAACCATTCTTTCCAGGTGCCATCTTTACTCTTAGCATTGCTATGGCCACTTCTGTCCTGATGGTTTTTATTATTATTTTCCTGCTCAAAATTTCAAAATCCTATCCTATCTACTCCTTTAGAGCAGTGGTTCTGAGCAGTTTTCCTTGGATGTGGTTACTTTCACACAGCTGTTGTGAGCTCTGTGTGCTGCTTGAAGGTAGAATAAGATGATAGATTTGTGAACTGTGCTGTGCTTGCTTGACTGTTTCAGGAAATGGAGCCTTATTTGCCTCTAACTAGCCAGGCTGTGCGGTTCTGCATCTCAGGAACTACAGTGTTGTTCTGGGTGAGCATCTTTTTTGAATCATCACGTTAACATCTATCACAGTTGCTGATCACCACTAATTATGGTATTAACACATGCTAGAGTGGTAGCTTGCCACCTGTTACTGTTCTGCTGATTTCCTGCTGTCATGCAAAATGCATTTCAATTCAGAGGGCAAAGAAACGAAACATTGGAAATCCATCAGTAAGAAGCAATTTGAAGAGATCTTATAGCATAGGGGTAACTTCTCTGACTTACATGCTCTAGTGAAAAAATTGTGCAGCAGAGGTAAATAAACAAAATATAATTATTCACTACTGTGAAGTACAGAAATATCCACAGAGTGAATTTCAGGGTGGACAGTATAATCTAACTTGTCTTACCCATTTCCATTTCTGATATCCTTCTGCACAATTCCGCTTGTCTTCTGCTTACAAAGTAATTTTAGTGCTTAAATGTATCTAGTATAACAAATTATTTGTCTACTTTGCATTTCAGTGCTGCTGAACTCAAAAAGAATTGAATTTCTCATAAAATTCATGTAACTCGTAAAGCATGATGCTGACCTTATTTCAAAAGATGCATGTGTTGTGGCTACACTGAGCTGTGTGTCTGAAATATGTCCTTCCTTTAGGTGTCCCTGATCATAGCTAGCATGATAGCTGTGATCGTGTATCGCCTGGCTGTATATGCTGCCTTCGCCAGCCTCATGGAAAATACTCAGACTCTGCAGCCCATCAGTGGATTACTGACCCCTCAGCTGGCAACTTCAGTCACAGCTTCTTGCCTCAATTTTGTCATCATCATGATACTGAATTTCATATATGAGAAAATAGCTGTCTGGATCACTGATATGGGTAAGCTGTGTAAATGAAGTCAGAACTCAGAAGGAATGGCTGGAGGTAGAACCTGTTGAAAATAGAGTAGTTTATTGTTTGCAACTTTATTTGGTATCTGTGGCCATGTTAAACATTTTCCTTGCGTTTCAGTAGTTATTGTAAGCTCCTTTCTCATAGTGCTGCATTTGCATGTACTAAAACGAGCCTGATGGAGTCAGTCACAGTTCTGAACATAATTAAAATAATTAAAAATCATTATGCATTGAGTTTTTAGGAAGCTGAAAATTATTAGGTGATGATTGTTGTTTGTACAGCTGCCATAAAAACAGTTGGGTGATTATCTTTGCATTTTGAGGCTTTACAAGTAGAGAGAAGAATTGGAAGGTGTGTGTTACAGAAGCTTAACAGGACTTATGTTGCCTTCATTTTGATTAATTGTACACAAGTTCTTGCATGAGGTGTGTGTTGAATGCCTCACTTGACCAAATTAGACCAAGAAAAGACAGAATAAGTAACAGATGGTGGTCTTTCTTTCCTTCTCAGAAGGCACGAATGACAATCATGAGGGCTCAGTTACGTTATTTTGCTGCTTGGAAGCGTGGGGGATGAATTTCTTAAGAGAGTGCTGCCTCTGGTTAAGAGAGAAAGGAATTCATTTACTTCTGTGGGACTGCTGCCCTCCCGTGGCAGCCCTATGAAATGCAGCTAGAGGTGTGGCTTCTGTCCCTGAAAAACCACCTCACCTTTCTGAGTGCTGCCTGCTCTATAGCACGCTGATGTCGGATGCCTTCTGTTCTTCAATCACACAAACTTAAACCACAAACTTAGTCAACACGACAATACTCAAATGTGAAATGACTTTAGCACTGGACTGGTGAGGTCAACATATTTTCCTGAAGGGGAACTTGAATTTTTGTGGTTTACTTTCTTCTCTTTTCTTCTAGCCTGAATTAGGTGTATGTTAGCATTTAACAGGGTATGTTATTAATAATATGCTTAGGGCTGCCTGCTACCTTAAGAAGATAAACGTGATGGATAATGTGATTATGGAAGTAGGCAAATCTTAAGCAAAGGCTTAGTGATGTCAACAGCCACGAAGATCAGGTTGGAAAAGACCTTCAAAGTCATCAAGTCCAGCCATCAACCCCTGCTATGGAGTTCTATCACTACACCATGTCCATTAGTGCCATGTCCATGCATCTTTGAAATAGCTCCAAAGATGGGGACTCTCCCACTTCCCCAGGCAGCCTGTATTCCACACCATTCTTCCCCACTCTGAATTTCTCATCTGAGAGGCAAAGGACCTGTCCAGTTTCAGCTGTCAATTTAAGCTGTGTGTATGCAGAACATTGCAAAAACAGCACTAGCATCATTCTCTGCAACAAAGCAAAAATATTGCTTATCCTGCCCATTGTCAGCATTAGAATTTTCATACTTTAGAAGACTCTACTAGTTGCTGGTTGCAATGTCCTATTTCTGATATAAGAGATTTGGGGGTAAAACAAATGATATTAGGTAGTATGTGGCAGGGGGGTTGGAGATTCATGATCCTTGAGGTCCCTTCCAACCCTGGCCATTCTGTGATTCTGTGAGTATGAAGAAGGCAATGGAATTCAAGAATGGGTTCAAGAATGGATTCCACTTGCTTGCCTACTCAGACCAGTGCCTTGTAAATTAAGAGCAGGATGCCTCAGAAGAGGAGCTCCAACTGCTGAAGTGAATTTGGAGGGTGTTTTTGATTTTGTGTTCATTTTCTTTGTGATGTAAGGGCATTGTGGGTGATGAGAATTTATGGAAACTGTATCCCCGTGAGAGAATGAAGGAAAATAAAGGTACTGTTTTCTCATTTCACAGAGATTCCCAGAACTCACATGGAGTATGAGAACAGGCTCACTATGAAAATGTTTCTGTTCCAGTTTGTCAACTACTATTCATCCTGCTTCTATGTGGCCTTCTTCAAAGGAAAGTTTGTTGGTTACCCAGGTGCATACACCTACATGTTTAATCGCTGGCGAAATGAAGAGGTAGGATTTCTTGATAAAGGTGGAATTCATAATAAAGTAATTAAACTCTTCATCCCCTTCAGCCTTTGGAGTTACAGATTTCCAGCTGCAGGTCTGGTCTGCGGGCTTCCAAGTACTCTTCCTGCTATTGGTAGTCAGGGAAACCCTGGCAGTGGAAAGTTGTGACTCTCAGGCACATGGGTGAGAAATCTGAGTGCTATTCTTGGCCCCACTTCTCCTGAATTATCAGTGGATTTCACCATATGTTTTAAAAGTAATTCTCTACTGAAAAAAACTAGGAGAAATGGAAATGGCTGCTGGTTTTTGGGTGTCTCTGCTAACTTATAGCTAGATTTTTCACAGAAACCATCTAGTAAGAGGCACCTCTGTAAGGCTTTGCTTCTTTCATACATCACTGCTAATTATGCTGGCTGTACAGAGATGAAACACAATGTTTAATGAAGTGTTATGTGGAACTCAGTAGTGGAGGAAGAACTTTAGGCAAAGTACAAAGAAGTAATAGTGTGGTTAGTGATAGAGCATCTCCTAATACAACTTGACTACTAAACTCTTAAGAAGGCCACAATAAAGAACTGAAATTTTGAAAATAGTGTTCTTAGCAAACAACAGAGACTGAATACTGGCAGTTATTTAAATGTCCCCAGTGTAGGAAAATGAACAGAAAATGCAGGTGCTTGCTAGGTCAGGGTTGGCCTGGTGTTCAGAGCTGCTCAGGTACCATAGATTCCCCTGGTTGGGGCTGTGGGAGAACTGCTGCACCCAGATCCTGCTGCTCCCTCCTCATAGTGACCAGTCTGAAGCATCTCTGAGTTACTCTCTCTTTCAGTTATCATTATGTTTGAACATGTGCTTTATCAAGCATGCTGAGCATTTAATGCCTTTCTATAACAGCCTTGCTGAAAACTGTATCTTAGCTGGCAGGCAAGGTGAGAATTAATTATCATCCTAAGAATTTTTAAGACCTTTTCTTCTCTCCTTTCTTTAATTTATACAGCAGTAGAATGTATTTTGTCTGGGTAATGTCCATTACTAATGCCCATTAATCCCCCAATCTGTCTGTCAGTGCGATCCTGCAGGCTGCTTGATTGAATTGACGACTCAGCTCACCATAGTCATGGCTGGCAAACAGATCTGGGGAAATATCCAAGAGGCCATTGTACCGTAAGTTCTCTTACACTGTGATGCCTGTGTTGTAAGGAAAGGAGTAGTAGCAAGCATTGGCAGTGGTGAAGCTAAGAACAATGTGTGCAAATTAACTGCATAGAAAGTAGACAGTTTTTGACTTTTTTTGCTTCTCTTTGTGAAAATGTTTGTAAAAGCATATTGAAACAAGGAGATCGCTTAGAGGAAGGAATGCTTGATCTGCTTTCCTCATTCTTAACTTTTCCTTCCTAAATGCAGCTGGATTTGTAACTGGTGGGGACGCCGCAAAGCCAGAAGTAATCCAGAGAATTTGTATAGTCGCTGGGAGCAGGACCACGATCTGCAGATATTTGGAGCCCTGGGCCTTTTCTATGAATACCTGGAAATGGGTATGTTTTAAAAGTACAGATTCAGAATGAGGATAAGGTACTTTGCACTGACACAGGAAGACTGCATCTCAACTAGTTGTTGAGGGTAAATTGCACCACTTTAATCTAGTAAACAGGAAAGGGTTAATAGGTCTAAATGATTAAATGGGTAAGCCCAATTACAAATAAATGAAAAGGTGCCTTGTACATCTTTGAATGGGAGGGATGTCACAGAAACACTGTAAACACCGTTTCCCTCATTTGAATGGTGAGCATTTTTCTCATTGCAAACAGCTGTCTCAGTATGTATCCCATTCTTGTTTTCAAGCTGATGTCAGTGGAAATTCAAAGTGGTGGATGAGCGCCAAATCTGCTGCTAGGGTGTGTGCTGCAGATGTGAGATCTGTGAACCTGATCAGAGGGAATCCATTTGTTTTAGGTGTGCACTGAGAACCAGCAGACCAGCAGGGGGAGCACGAGTAACAAAGAGTTTTTCCAAAGGTTCTGTAAACAGGATGTGCGTATTAAATTTGTTTACAAAACCTGAGTGTGTTGCTGTATTGGGATTTATTGCTATCTGCTACTTAAATCACACAAGAGGTTGTGTTTCATTTCCTGTCCTTAAAATGAAGTGGCAGTGTTAGGTCTGCAGTGAGGACTATCACATTCTGAAAGAGATGTTTCATTTTGGTAACGGAGAAGACTTGTACAGCCCGATGGAAGTTTGCTGTCTGTCTGCAGTTGGCAAGTTGAACTTTCCTAGGGATAGATTTTGACAGTTTTCTTTTCTTGCTTACAGTCATTCAGTTTGGATTCATTACTCTCTTTGTGGCATCCTTTCCCCTGGCTCCTCTTCTTGCTCTGATGAATAATATCTTGGAGATTCGAGTAGACTCCTGGAAGTTAACCACTCAGTACAGAAGACCCGTGGCTCTAAAAGCACATAGCATAGGAGTGTGGCAAGAAATCTTGAATGGAATGGCCATCTTGTCTGTTGTCACTAATGTAAGTAAGCTAACCATGCCAAACCAACTCTTCCACTCTTTTATTTGCTCAGAATGTGCAGATTTAAAAGCCAGCTAATGCTTTATCTCCTTCATCGACACCATACACTTTATCACGTCACCCTATGGAGATATGGTCCATTTGAGCCTTTTGTCTTGTCCATGTGCTGATATGTGGAGCTTTCAATCCTTATTTCATTGGACTGTAATCTTCCCTTCACATGTCTTCACCTTCTGTCATTTTGAAATGGCAGAAACCAGTCTGAACTTTAGTGTGGTGGTAGGGGTAGTGGCTCAGACTACTTTTTATACACTGGAAACAAAATGGCATGTCAGTATTTTATATTAAGTATAATGTAAAGCAGGCTGCTGATCAAGAATTGCTTCTTTTTAATGCAGAATATTCAGCAGTATCAGATCTGTAGATGTCTTAGGCAGCTGGACTACTGACAGCTATTGCCAAACTAGTGAAATACCTGAGCATTTCAACTATCTCGGGTTTGTAGGCAAAGTGTGCCAGAAGCCATAGTTGACTTCTTAAATACAGCTGGAGAAAAAGGCTCCTCTTCTTTCATCAAATAATTTAGCTGTTCCCTCGCTGAATTCACATTCAGCCTTTCTCACATGAATTTAAACTTGCATTTCCATTTTCACCAAGGAGTGTGGTTATCACTGTTAGAGGATGCTATTGCTTTGGGGTGGGAAAAATACCAGGAATTTGTCCTGCATATAGTAGCTGATATTTCTTAAATGAGAAGAAGAGGAAAAATGATTTTTGAAGTCAGAGTACTCTTCTAGAGAAAAGGATTGACTGCCTCTTAAAATAGCTATTCATATGTTTTGTTCACCAAGTGTTTAAAATTAGCTGGTCCTTATGGCAGAGGATAAAGGCAGGTTCTTTTCCAGGACAATTGTGCTCACTCTTACTTTAGTGGATCCTGGGTTATGTAACAGTCACAGTACCAGAAACTCTTTATGGATCCCCTCACAAATTTTCATGCTCAATTTCTTCTCCAATTTCATTTTCAGGCATTTATTGTTGCATTCACATCAGATATGATTCCTCGTTTAGTTTACTACTATGCTTATTCTGAAAATGAAGTCTCACCGATGTCTGGATACATAAACAATAGTTTGTCAGTGTTTGAAATCTCAGATTTTCCTGAGAGAAACAAGCCTAAAGAGAATCCAGAAGGTTTCACACAATGCAGGTTGGTGTTGGTATAATAATAAATATTTTGTGCCTTTTATAACATGAAAAGCCAGTACAGTTCTGCATAGCTTACTGGAAATTAAATATCATTTTCAGTGTTCTGAAATTTATGTCCCTAAAGTTGCAACTTTGGCCAAAATTTTCTAAGGATTCTAGGCTGCAGTGCTCTGGTGACCATGGAACTGTGATAAAGGGGCAGTTTAGACTCCAAAGGTGGAAATGAGATGTGGCCTTGAAAGTCAAAGTATTAGAGGCTTCTAGAAGAATTGGAGAAGAAGTTCAGAGAAGTCCTGAGTAGCATTTATTATATTTGATTTGGTGAAGAAAAAAAAAACCATTGAAATCAAGCTAGAGCTCTGTGATGCTTTTGCTTTAAAGCCTCAGGTGTCTGTCCTACTTACACATGTGAGTGTAAACACCTGATTGAGGCTGTGCTTCCATTAAGCCCTGCGTCTGGTCAGTACACAATCTGTCAACATCTGTTGCATTTACTCTATATTTGTCAATTATTGCGTGGTAAGTTCCATCACTCCTGCATTATTTGGTAATTGCCTGGAGGAGAAAAGTAAGCTGTATCTAAAATTTCACTTCTCACACATCCTCATTTATAAGCTGAGGCTGTGAGTGAGAGTGTTTAAACAAAGATAAGATTGAAACAAATTGCAAGGCAACCTTTTCCTGCAAAATGAAACAGACCGTTTAAATCAAGATGAAAAGGTCCCTAAAGTGACAGCTGTATTTGCTTGTAAGTGTCACTGAGCTTGTAGTCTGTCTCAGGCTGAATGTGACATTTCACATTTTTCTGTTCAACAGGTACAGAGACTATCGGTACCCTCCAGATCATGAGAGGAAATATTTACACACAATGCAGTTTTGGCACATTCTTGCTGCCAAGCTGGCATTTATAATTATTATGGAGGTATGTTCCCTATGTTATTCCCCTCTGAAGTTAGCACCTGATAGACCTTCTAGGTAGTTAATAATGTTACAGAAAAACAGAATTGTTGAGAGTATAAAGTAGCCTCTTCCCTAAGTAATACCAAATAACCAGGTCCTAAATGGATACTCCAAGTCTAGCTTGTAACTTCAGGAAGTTAAACTGCAGATTACCAACAGTGAAAACAACTGACTGCAAGAATTGATCTGTATTCAAAATCCTGGAAGTGTTTTGTGGTGATGTGTATTGGTTAAAAAATAGCTAAGTCAGTAATTTGGATAACTAGCAGTGCAGCATGAAGCCCGTGTTTTAGAGCTTGCAGAGGAAAAGGGTGTGCTTGAAGTGTAATCCTTATCACTTCCCCTCCTGTATCTTATCAGTTCTCCCCAGCAGATCGCTATCAGCACGGCATTATGAATTTTTTTAAAGAAACACTTGGCATTAGAAAGTGATGCAGAAATCCAGACCCTGATGCTTTCCTCCTGGGCTTCCTACTTCACAAACAGTTTGGGATTAAGGCTTTTATATAGTAGGGAATGTTTTAATCTTTTGGCACAACTCAGGTACACGCTGTTAGTTAGGACAGCCAAATGAAACGTGTTCTGTTTCAGGACAAAAAAAGGAGTGGTTTATTTTACATTACGCTGCTTCCTCCAGTTCATTTGCTCTGGCTTCCTTATTTTATCTATTTACTCATTTATTTGTTTTGCAGCATGTTGTATTCATCGTCAAATTCTTTGTAGCTTGGATGATTCCTGATGTACCTGCAGATGTGAAAGCCAAGATAAAACGTGAAAAATATTTGACACAGAAAATCCTGCATGAGTACGAACTTGAAAAACTGAAGGAGAGACTGTGTCAAGGTGATAAACGAGCTACAGAAAAGGAGTTCATTGCCACAGAAGGGAGAATGGAGTTATCCAGAGCAATGTAGTTGAAAAAACAACTGTTTGGGATTCAGCTCATTTTAGCTTCTTTATCTGTGACTTGCTCAGTATGCATCATCTTGAAAGCTGTAGGACAGCTTCAGCCCTTTGCTTTCAGTCCAAAGATTTTAGACTTTAAGAGTCATACTGAGCATTTTAGGTTTAGTGAAAACTATTTAAGGACATGACTTAGGCACCGTTCTCTGTGTATGCATCACTTCAAATAATCAATGTAATCTTGTAATCCTACAATTTGGATCCCCAATACAAGGAATGTTAGCGAAAAGGACCCACAAGGTATCATACAGTCATTACCACCAAGCCCTTACGCTGTATCCCAGCTGAATGAGAAAGATATCCCAGAGGACTTCTGCTGTGGAAAATGCTGAGCATTGCCTTGTGATGTGAATCTTTAAAAGCAGAAAGCACTCTTGATAGCTGGGATAGGGTTTTAGGGTATTTTTGTATCCACCGTGTTTTCTGAAGTGTTTCTTCCTGGCTTATGACGTCTGTACTCTTTTTTAGAAGGAAATAGGTTTTTAAAGATATACCAGTTTAATTCCATTTGGAATTATTTTAAGGCACAGAATTCAGGTAGTACTTACTAATGAAGGAAAAATACCCACTGTAATTTATTTTCATTAAGCTTCGCCAGCAATAGAGTTTGCTCTTTAAATGGAGATTCTGTGGAATCATCTAATTAATTTTCTAAAAGATGTATGATTTGGAGAAATACAGCTATTTCTCCATCACAAAACTTGCTATTGGAAGAACGTGCTTGACGTAAGTTTTGGGCCAAGCTGCTCCTTTGGTTGGATTCTTCCCATCTTTGTCAATGCCACGTAAGGCCTTAAAATCACGTGCCCATACCGTGTGCTGTGGAGCGTGACTTCAGAGCACAGCAGGTTGGGATTTGGGCCCCTGTGTTAATTGATCAAACCACATGATTGTACAGAGAACAGGATTCATATTCAGATGATTTTAGGAATGCCAAGTACTCTATGTTTACGTTGTTGTCCTTATGCATAGGAGCTTTTCTTTTTAATCCCCAAGAGGGAATTTCTTTTGTTCTGTCATGGGGCCTTTCTACAAAGTTATAGAAGCTGTAAGCAGGTAAATAACTACTTGTGTATAGGAGCTACCAGCTGTTTATGAATGTGCCCTTGTTTTATAATTTTAAGCAGTTATGCATTTTTATGATTTTGCTGCATTTTTAAAACATATCAACACTTCCACAATTAGTGCCTTGTTTATTTGCGTTTGGCAAAAGATGTGAAAACAATCACTATGTGGAAATGAGCATTTCCAAAGTGTGCTTGCAGGCATCATGATACTGTGAACCTGCACACATAACTGTAGTGCTAGCCACACAATGCCTGCCTTGGCACACTTGTCTTTGTTAGTGCTATGCAAACCATTCATGCCCAGCTGTCCATACCTAGGCTGCTTGGATCAGCTTGCACCAAGCTGTTGAGTTCTCTCGTGTGCAAGTACACTGGCTAGAGAGATGAGAGATTATAACATATTTGCACTTTGATAGTTATGCTTCCTTGCAAGTATACAAAAAAAAATTGGATTTGAATGCCATATCAGCCAATGATGTACTGTTTACAAGATCCACAACCTACAGTTTCCAGTTTTTGTTTCAACAGACCTAGCCAATTTTGTCTAGTAACCTTAATGTTGTAATCAGTGTCTTGGGTAGAACTGTAAATACTAGCAAAAGTTCTAACACGGAAGTGCCTACCTCGAGCAAACATTGCATGGTTTGGCTGCCAGTCAAGGATTTGAAGCAGATGTACATTTCTCTCCATTTCTGTAAGTTATTCAGCTTATTCTGTAAGTTGACTTAGTAGATCAAGCATCTTGGTAGTTCACGTTTATGATGAACTGACCGTGTTCTGACATATTCAGATACATTTGAAATAATGGATTTACTGCAGGAATGCATGTATGAGTAAGCTAGCTCTGCTGCTTAATATGTAAGCCAAAGAAAAATATCAGTCACCATGATTATGTAAGTGACACCAGAACTTATATACTGCAAGCACTTTGCTGCTTCTTACATATGTACTGTTAATTAAACTGCTTAATTTAGATTTCATGGTTCTGTTTTCTCCTGTTAGCAAAGCAAACTGTTGCTTCAGATAGTAAAGTAATGAGATGCAAAATGATACTTTAATGCAAAATATACACATCTGCCTGAAACTGAAAAAAGTTGAAAATTCAGCTTTAGATTCCTGTGTATGGAACATTAGCTTCTTTAGGTCCTATAATAAATAAAGTGTCCTTTCAAGTTACTGCACTCAAAAAGTTGTCAACAAAATTGCTGTCTTGTGAACGATTCTTGCAATTAAAAAGCAAGATTAAGAACAAGGAAATTCCTGAGCTCAGGAAACAGCACTGATATTCAGAAGTCCCATGCAAAGGCCCTGAATTTTATTTCATGCTCGGCCTCCACTTCTTGCTTCTTCCAAATGCGTTTTTTGACATCATTTCCTATTTGATGCTGTAGAAATATCTTTTGCAGCAAAAATGAAAAAATCTGGGACCTACTTCTCTAAAATATGCAATGAAGGAATCTATCCTTACACTCCACAGCATTACTTCATGGTGTAATAGAAAACTGTTGGCAAGAATGAGCATTGTCATACTAAGAGCAAATGTCACAAAGAAATCCGAAGCCTGTTTGTGTAACAGTTGGCCTTTGCTTGTCATTCAGCAGTGTTTTGGCAAAAGCTTGTTGGCACACTTAGAAGGATGATAATGGTCTAAGTACCTGCTTCCTGAAGCGCTCTCAAAAAGTGGCAAAAACAGAAAAATGGTCTGGTCAGTTTGAGGATGTAGTTATCGTTAAAAGATTGGGTTTTGAGATGTTCAAAGTACGCATCTGAAAGTGTCCTTTGACCAAAGGGAAGTTACTTCCACATTGGAACTGCAGCAGGTAAAGCTACAGCAGATTGCTTCGTTAGAATTAGTGAAAAAAATCAAATTGGCCTTTCAAGTGTCATACAATCAGGGATTATTGTTTTTTTTCAGTTGAAATCTAGTATTTATGTATTAGGTTGATATGATCCGAGCAAATGACTGCAAAATGAGTGCTACTATAAAACACTATGCTGTTTTTTTCTAGAAGATATTATTATTTTTAGGTTTTTTATGTAATACTATCAGCTGGAAACAGTGGGAAAGAGTGAAAAATCCATGGACTTCTGTACTGTTCTGACTCATACTGTCATGTAATCAAAGTGGCATTTGTCTGCTACATATGTTGCTGGTATATATGATACACTAATGTTGGAATAATTTTTTAAACATTGCATTCAGCTAACTTATACATGTACATTTAATAACCTGGCAAATAAAGCAGTGTTTATTTTTAATATGCTGTCAACTTGTTTGTGAAAATGCCAAGAATTCTTCAAGTGAAATATGCCCAGAGAGCCTCACAGAGGAGAATACTTGTACAGATTTCTGCAGCTCAACGTGTGGGATATTTGGGTGCTGCGTACAGATTTCCTACAGTAGTAATTTCAGTAGCCTGAGTAAGAAACTTGGTAAGAAAACCTTCATCTGGCCACCATCTGAAACGATGGCCACACTGTGTAATTTTGTTGCCTTACATTTCCTTAAGAAACTACTTAGCAAGGGAAATGTGGGCTAAATTCTACGTGCATTGTAAGCAGTGCACATCAACTGTGATGGAATGAGTATAGGATACCTTATGAGTGAACTTAGCCTTGAAAGTTTCTCATGTTAGAAGGCCATGGTATAGTGAAAGGTACAGTACAAACAGTACATAACAAAGTCATTAAGGTCGGAAAAGATCTCTGATCCCCAAGTTGAACTCCATCCCCTCCTCACCACGCTTGTTGATTACATCCTTCATCTCCATGGTTCTGGAACACCTCTGAGGATGGTGGCACATGTAACCCCATTCACAGGTGGAATCATGGAGGAAAAAAAGCAGCAACCTCAAAGGAAATCGTAACCCAAAGTTTGAAATCTGCACATTTCATGTCAGATGTAACCAGAGCTAGAATGACAGGTCACTAGGTGGACCAACCTGTGGTTTGGCAAAGAGACTGGATAAAGGAAGAGCAAATGCAACCCTACCAAAGGGCTTGCTTAGATGTGAAATGCTTCCTTCCCTAAACACATGGAAAGAAGTAAAAGGAAAAATACATATGCGATCATTACCATATTGACGCTTCAAGTAATCAAGAAATTATTTGGTAATTAAATTAATTTGTAATGACAATGAGCCTCAGCTACTATTCTTGTCTGTCTACCCGCATGCCCAGGGTCGTCACTCTGCAGCACAGTTTCAGAATCCATAAAAAGGAATAGCTATATTAAATCTTGTTCTGGTTTTAAATAATCATTTAAATTCCCCACACTTACATCATTCAGATGCAGCTCAGGAAGTTGGCTTTTTTTTTTATTATTTTTTTTACATAAGCATGTGTACTGAGAAATGTGCAGGGAGCTGAGTAGGATGTGAAATTCAGCCTCCACATCAATTTTTGGAAGACGCATATGCACATTCCCTTTGCAACAACTAGTGACTATGCTTTCTCAGTCAGAAATGAGTCAATCTAAAGCATTTAGTAAGCGTCTAACTCCTTGTAATTCCTCTTTTAACTCCTAGCAAGGCAGTGCTGTTAAGCAGTCAGAAGCACGTTTTGTGTTCCAGGTGCTGGCTGCCTGAGCCTTGTTGTCTGGTGGCCTGAAGGCCCGCAGCTATTACTTAGCAACACTACATGGTAGATCTACAGTCACTGCCAAAAGTGAATAGAAACCCCAGCAAATGTTGCATATCTATCTAAGCTAAGTTGGAATAAAGATGGAGATATAAACTCAGCTGGCTTTTCAAGATATTGTGTAATTTAACCAGAACCATTAATTGTAGGCGGTAATAAAGATATTAAACTACTCTTTTTAGAATGATTCTTTGTTCCCTGGTATCAGGCTCTGATCCAATTGCATACAGTCCAAAGGCAGAGCAATTGCTGTAAAACATCATTGGGTTACTTCTCTGAGTGATGTCTTTAATCAGCCAGCCTGAAACTGCTGTGTTTAAAGGCCAAACAAGAAATGGTGGGACAATCAAACTAAAAACAGCTGTTTTCAACAGGAGAATACCTAAGGAACTGTTAATTAGATCTACAAGTTCAAGAATTATAAACAGAGCTGTAAATACATAAAGGACCTGTTTCTATTTATGTATGTGTGCCTGTAAAAGTGGGTCAAGAGATTTGCATAAATACAGCTCACCACGTGATGGAAATCGTTAATTATGTGCCACCAGCTGAACCAGCAGTTCAGTACTGTAAGGTGTCAAGACTCCACACTGCTGTAACAAAGATACTAGTGCTTTACAAGCAAAAAGCATTTTCAGCTTTCCCCTCTCATAAGGATTGCCACTGTGCCACGACAGCTTTTCTGACTTCCTCAGAAGTGGCAGTATTACTAAATACTGAACTCTATGTGCCAGGTAACACTTCCACTCATCTGCTAGCAAAGACTTCCTTTCATGGTGTTACAGTGAGAAGGATTAGTGCAGTTGAAAAGCAAGACAGGAGTAGCAAAAGGACAAACAGAAAAGGAATGCTCACCCATCTCTGAGGACCTAAGCTTGCAGGGAGAAACTCCGTGAGGGAGGGCTCTCCAACCAGAGCTCCTTCCCCAGCTCCTGCCCCTTAAATGGGGTCTAAGAGAGGTGCAGCCAGGCTCCAACCCTTCCAGTCACACAGCTGAATTGCCTTCACCTGTGCTCCCAGGGCTGACCCAGTCCTTTCTCCAGGTGATCAATCAGTGGCTCAGGCTGTGACTCAACAGTTATCATACACATGGATTTCTCTTTCTCAAACAGAGAAGGCTGCAGGGTGACTTCATTTCAGACTTCCAGTACCTGAAGGGCACCTATAAACAGGAGGGGAGTCAACTGTCTGGGAGGGCAGGAAAATAGCAGGACAAGGGGAAGTGCTTTAAAGTTGAAGGAGGAAAGATTTAGGTTGGATATCAGGGGGAAGTTCTTTATTATGAGAGTGGTGAGGTGCTGGAACAGCTGCCCAGAGAGGCTGTGGATGGCCTGTCCCTAGAGGTGTTCAAGGCCAGGTTGGATGGGGCCCTGGGCAGCCTGGTCTGGTACTAAATGGGGAGGCTGCAGATTCGTGATCCTTGAGGTCCCCTCCAACCCAAGCCCTTCTATGAAATAGAATTTCTCAAGAAATACTTCTTATGTGTCAGCCAAGAACCAAACCATCCTTTATTAATGATACTTTCAAGCACTTCAGTGCCTCTGTAGCTTGTGTGTATGTTCAGGCCAGAGAAACATTGACAGATGTCAGGTGTAGCATGGAGTTGTCCTGGGGAAAAGCACACTTTCTATACGTATAACCAATGAATAAAAAGATGTTATAACTATGAAATAAACAAGAGAGTTTGGCTAAGCAGGTTATAATAACAAAAAGAGAACAGATAGAAAGCTTACCTGCATCCTGGGCTCACTGCAAAACCCTAGAGGAGGGAACTCCAGAAGAGATCCTTCCCTACTGGTAGCCAGCTCTTAAGTGGGTCTAGGAGAGGTAGAGCCAGGCTTCACCCCTTCTGGCAGCACAGCTGAATTGCCTTCACCTGCGCTCCCATGGCTGACTCATTCAGAGTACCCTCAATCAGAGGTTCAGGCTGTGATTCAGCAGTTCCCATACACCATCCCTCTGCCTTTTTCCATTCTTTTTAGTGAGGCAGCCTTCTACACCATCATAAGGCAATTTTTTACAAAGATTTATCAATGGAAAAGGCTCATGCTCTGAGAGCAGGAACACTGAGATTCTGTGTGCATCATGGTATACCTATAAACTGCTCAGAGCCTTTTTATTATGCTTTTGCTGGGTATCCATGTAAAAATAGCAAGTTATTGGCTACTTTTTTTTTATTGGCAGTTAAGACAGGAACTGAAATGAAGTATCTAAGAGGTTGATTCAATGGAAAGGGAAAAGCAGGCTTCCTTCTACTTTTGCAGCTGGAAGAAATCAAATGCAAAGGAAGGTTTTGGAGCATTTGCTTTTACTTTCAATGCAAGGATAAACTCTGCTTCAAACATCAATCAAGAAAGAAGACACCTCCCTGTGTGCAGGGCACCCCCTATTCTCCTGCACTTACTTCCACATATCAGTGATGGATTCACACAGCCTCCTTAAGGTATTTTGCCTCACTCCTGGGCACAAGGACAGGTTGCTTCATGCATATGGTGAGGATGGGGCAAATGCTGAGTCAGGTAACTTCAGTTTTGTTTATGGAGAAAATAGTTACAACTTCCTAGAGGGTCATTGTGGTGAATTATTTAACTCTGAAACAAATGCCAATTATTTGTGAACAAATGCACAATACTTTCTGTCATTCTGAAGCTGTATAATTAAGTCTCTGTACAGGAAAAGGACTGATATTATTGAGTACAGGAAAAGTAAATAATATAGGGTCAATGTACTCTTCAAAGAATACATTCTTTTACTGCTACATTCTTAAAGTATGCTGTTTGGTCTAGAGATGTTCCAGCAAGGCCAATCCAAAACACTAGATAGGAAAATTTCTGTTGGTTTTAATGCTTTTGATCAGATTTGTCAGTAAAATGCAGAACACCCCAAAAAATACAGTCCCACCAGAAGTCTCTTCTCAAAACTGGCAATAATAATCCAACCAACTGTGGGATGTTCATGTTAGCTGCAGTGCAGAGAGGAGACTTCTGACAGGTAAAGTGGATACATCATACTTTATGCTTCTGCATTTGGACAGAAAACAGACACAGATTCATGGAGCTGCAGATGCCCTCTTGGACACTGCTCACAGGCCTCCTGTCCATAGGGCTCACATCTCTGTATGGAAAATGGAGAACCACTGAGAGATGTGCCAGTTTTTCAGACATCTGCAGACAACAAAAATGTTTGATCTGCAGCTACAGCTCTCTAGCCCTCCATCTCTCCCTGGGTGTAACTGCAGCAGCAGCAGGAGACTGCTAAGTGGAGCCCTTCTCTCACTTTCTTAGGAATAAACTCACCAAGCTTGGGTTCTCCACTCTGATCAGTTTTGCCTTCCTTTATTTCCTGTAACACTCGTGCAGAATGACTTGCTTCTTTTTGAGAGCATCGATCCATTGCCAGAAAACCCATTGAGTGGGTGGATATTTTCTGAGGATGGCAGCGTGCAGCCTAAATGCTTGCATCAATCCTTTCTTCTGCTCCATATCTGAGGGGATTTTTGAGAACAGGTTGCTCTCAGACTGGCTTCCTCTTTATGTAACAGCACAATTCGAAGAAGTCAAAAGCTGAAGACATGTATATCCACTATAACTCCATCCTCCCACAGTGGTAGAGATGAAAAC